AAGACTGCAAGCTCAGCGAAAAGAAAGCAAAGTGGCAAAGACAGAAGACTGACGACAGACTGAGTTGCAACCTTAATGACGGAGGGCAGTGCACAGTTTGCAAGGCACTGGGCGAGCACCTCCTCCTCCTCACCAGCCTCACCTGGCCGGGAATCTGGGGATCTTGGCCTGTGTGGTCGGCAATTGACATAACATAAACATTTGCCTTTGCCCACAAAACGCACACAATCGCACACAATCACAAATCGCCTAATTATAGCCCTGCGCGGTCCTTCTTTTTACCTGCCAGCCCATTCAATCGATTCAAATGCCCGACAATCTTTTCAATTATTTCTTATCACCTATGGGGGACCAAGGCAAATGCAATTACACTTAAAGAAAAATAGTATTTGGTGCTACAGAAGCTTAACGAGGATTTCTCCTTAATTGGTTAGTGCCTTTCTTTAAAGCTAACTTTTCATATACATACATCCTCTTGAATTCCTTTAAATATACAGCATAGGATTGAAACTAAATATATAAAATAGAATTGCAATACATTAATATTTATTTATCATTTATTATTATATATTTTTTTACTAATAGGAACCAGAAGTGTAAAAAATAAACTTGAATTAATGATTTTTATTCTTTTAAAAATATAATTCACTCAAAAAGCTATATGTTTAATAACGTTGATTCGAACATAATTATTTGTTATCTTACACTCTATTTAATAACAAGAACGAAAGCTAACTTTGAAATTCCGACTTATCTATACCCTGGCAGTGAAAATAATTCATAGCTCAGTCAAAAATGAATAAATTTCCCATCGGAAAACGTTTCTGTGCTAGTTTTTATAAGATTAACAAATCTGTATACTAAATTTAAACATTTAGAAAAATCCATTTTCTGTTCTAAAATTTTTATAATTTTAACGATGTAACTCCTTATAAAATGTTTTAAATTAAAAAAAATTAAATTTGTGTCGGACATAGCTAAATTGATTTGGCTGTTGATGCTGATTCAGAATATGATTTATAGGGTCGGAAACGATACCTTTCCGAAATATAAAACCTTGTCAAGATATAATAATTAATATATCCCACATTCTTTTATATTTATATTTTTAATAAACGTTTACAAAATATAAGCAAAACTATATAGGAAGCTAAATTATACTCTGAATATCTTAATAATCTTATATGTTTTCTTTACGCTCCCTTTTAAATTTCTCTAAAAAACAGTTTTCAAGTGTAATTGCCACATCTCGCTGGCAACATTGTTGCAAGTTTCCGAACATGTTGCTAATGGAATCCTATTCTCGCTGGCGAGCTTAGCATATTTGAGGAGGACACCGATCGTTGCGAACCAGTATCTCTCTCTCTACTAGTCCACTCTAACCAACCTGAGACGATTAATATAAATTTGAGCGAAATTTGCACCTATGCGATACAATTCACTTTGGCTTTTTGATTTGCTCGATTGGAGACACCGACTTCGCGTTTATCCCCATCGTTTTACACGATTTGTTTTTTATTTTTCGGCGGATGACAGTTGTTTGATTAATTACCATGGCCAATGCGAAGGAAAATCAAGTTTTGTTTGCCACCGAGACTTGGCCAAATTGTCCATTAGTTCCGGCCAAAAGAAAATTCACAAAAAATGTGGAAAACTAACTGGCTCGGTTGTGGTGATTGCAGTTTGGGATAGGGAAAGGCTGGAGTTTTCTATTTGATATAATTAGGAAGTACTTCCAAAAATATGATAAAATTATTTGGGATTAAGTTAAAACTCATTTCCTCTGATTTTTTAGTACAATTTTGTATCATTTCTATGTAGAGTGAGATCAAATGCACCTTAGTTAATAGGCTTAAAAAAGTGAGTCCACTCTCGCTACATGGATTGACACACACACCCACAATGCACCACGATCTTATGGCTTCCATGGCCCGTAACCATCTTACATCGATCGTTCGATATGCCAAGCCACTTGCACTTTCAGCATCGTCATTCTACTCGCGGACAACTTTCATCTTTCATCCGTATCTTGGTTGCCTGCACTTTCGTTCAATCGGTCAACGCAACTTGGCTGGATGGGAGAGTATCTATAGCTGTGTGCATGCACTGAAAGAAACATTTATTTTATTTAGAAATTTTATTTTACAAGTTTCTTTAGCTGACAACTGGTTTAGTAAAAGGGTAAATGGGTATGCAAGAGAGCGCAATATCCGCGTAAGCCGCATCGATCTATCCTATAGAATAAAGCTAAGAATAATAACCTCAGTCAACTTACAGAATTCTCTATTATCCCGCCAAATTTAAAATAATTTTTTCGTATTAATTATACAATATAGTTTTATAATATACTTCAGCATTTCAGCACCCATACAGTAGAGTATTCTTTCTTATTTTTCTTTTCAAAACTATTTTAAAACGAGACGTTTTTCTTATGCATTAAGATCGTAATTTATATAGTAACTAGAAAATCATTTACTTATTTTTTTCGTGTGTGCAACTATGTTGCGTTGCATCGCCCAAGGGGGCACGTCGATGTCGATGGTAATTTGCATATTTTCCGCATGCGCAGACGACTCGCGACGGCCAGTTTATTAAACAAAAATATTGACATGAAAATCGGCTTTCGATTTCCATGGGACAAATTGTGCGGCATCAGTTGCACCACCGGCAGCACCCTCCTGCCATCTCCCCCGGCCCCCGGCACCCCGGCGAAACGAGATTAAATGGAAAGTGAAGTTGCGCATGCGTCGCGTCGCCAATCAAGCAAGCTCCTTTACTACAAAGCCTGAAAAGTCTGAAGTCTGTAGTCTGAAAACAGAAAACTGAAGCTTAAGCGAACTGTTAGCTGCTCGGTTTGTCGTCTGTGTAATTAGGACAAAATGTCTAATGCTGACGATGGTGACCAATGCCGAAAATAGTAAATACAACTTGGTCTGCCTGTCGGTCGGTCCAGTTTTGGTGTCGCTTTACGCACCTTAATGATCATTTAGCGGACGCTCGGTGTTTGTTAGCCATTTACTTGGAGCGGCTTAAAGCCGATCAATCGGTCTGCAACTTTTACCTCAGCCGGGAAAGTTCTTCCATCACTTTTGACCGAAGATGTCTTTGCTTTTCGCTCTTTGTGGAATGTAAACAAAAATGGAATGCAGTTTTCTTATATGTATTTTTTTTTTTGGTTTATTTTGCTTTTCTTTTCGGGAAGTTCAATTTCACTTGAAGCGAAACTGAAAGTTTTCTTTTCTATTTGAGGATTACGTGTGGGGATTATTTTCTCGGAGCATGAGATGGGATTATGTGTGGTCAGAATAGATAGGAAATGAAAAGATTTGAAAAATTAAATCAAAATCAAAAGTTTCTTTTCTTTAATTTTATATTGAAATTAATTAACAATTGCAAATGTGAGAGATAATTAAGCATAATAATAATGTGTGTATGTATGTTTGTATTCTCAAAATAATATAATATTGTTATGGCAGTAAATAGCTTACCCTCTCTCTCCCTCTCTCTTTCTCTGCTTCTCTCTTTTATACTCAACTCTCTACTCTTAGTATCTCTAGAGATAGCTCCTTCGCTCTAACTCTCTCGCTCACACTTTCTCTGTTCTCTTTGCTCGGGGACTATAAATAGAGGCAGCGACAGCCGCTCCGGGTTTAGTCTGTCCGTGGCCCTACCAGTGTTAACATCTATAGTGATAGTGGGAGTGATAGTAATTACCCTACGACCTACAAAATATGACGTGGCCAATGCAATATGACTGGACAAGGAGGACTTAATTTTGATTTAATATAGATATTGCAATTTGTAATTATGTTATATGCAAACGTGTACTCAAAGTTAACGGCCTAACTTAATTAATTAATTAAGTTTCCAAGTTAAACCTATTAAGAAGTATTTTAGCTATTGCAAATCTAATTAAATACAAAGCCTCAAACTAGTAATTACCTTTATTCTTTTCTATTTAACTCCTTATCCCTAACTTAACTTAATTACTTAATAGTAATGTATATATCTGATTCTAAATAAATAAGGAAGTAATGTGTGCTACCTTACAATTCGGGTCAACCTTGATTTAATGCCAAATGTGGTAAGCGTAAAGGAAATGCCGTTAACAAAGAGTTTGCGGGTTCATTAGCACAGCCCAAAGCCTCGACAATGTATTTTTCTCTATTGCAATGAGCAAAACTGAATTAAAGCAACAATTATTTATTTAATCATATTTCATTGAGATTGAGCAATCAGCGGGATGAGACGGACGCTCTGAATTCCCGGCTACCTGACACTGTGCAACAACAACAAATGCCACATCAGAAGCATCTTCTGCAATTATTTGTGCATTAGAGGAAGCCCAGCGCTACCTCGGAGCTGTCGGCTAATGTCAGTTTAAGTGTTGCAGCGAATAGAAAACATACCGAGGAAGTGCATCGGGAACGGGGAAAAGCGCAGCCGGTGGGAAAATACTCGAGCAAGTTGCAACTTGCACTGCAACGGCAGTGGCATCTGGCAATTGGCAACCGGTTGGTTGCTGGGCCTAAAATAATAATATTCGCATTAAGAATGCCTGAAATGTGCCCCAAGTCCTTAAATGCATCCGCTATACGGACCGCCGTCGACCGAAAGCCAAATCGGATTAATGCAGTTGACTTACCCCAAAAATGGCAGCCCACGCAGTGTTTGCTGTGGCAAGTTGCCTGTTGCCTGTGGCAGGTTGCTCAATGGACTCCAGTGCCCATAATTGCCTCAAAGGGGGAAAACATAAGAACGATCTTTTTGGCATCCATAATAAAATGCACATTTAAACGTCACCATTTAGTTTTTGGGGCAAGCAGGAGTCACACTGCTGACCCACATAAGACTTGGATTTGGTCTTCATTATAAAATTGCATTGCCAAGCAATTTGCTCACATCTAAAGTTGATTTATTGACAAGCAATTAGGTATTACTGTATATATTTAACCCACAAAGGGAACATGTTCCATCCCAAAAAGAAAAAAACTTCCAAATTCAAAACGAAACACTTTTAGTTGAATTTAATAATAAATTCGTAAGTACAATATTTGTCATAAAACAATATATGTTGCTTGAAAATAAATATAGTTTAGGGATGAGAGAATATGAAACGAGGTGGGGAGGTGGTTTATAAGGCACACAATGGATCGATCAGTCATCGGTAATCTCCGTTATCTTGGCACTTTCGGCAAACACATCCGGTATCTCTGCTTCATCGGATCTCTCAATGATGCGATACCTCTCCGCCGCCGCCAGACACTGGATGGCCACTTCACGGGCCTTGGCACGCGACTCATCGGGCAGCTGTCCCAGTCCACTCAGAAGCTCCATAATATCCGTCTCGAATAGCTTCTTGGCGATCTCCTCGCCCGAGTTAATCATGTTAAGGATTACAACAATGCCACGATGTTGCACGGCTGGACTGGGATTGGCAATCAGCGTATGCAAGATATCCAGGCAGCTGGCAATGCCGAGAATCTTTTCGCAGCACTTAACGGACACCGATGTGAGCATGGCCAAAGCTCCGGCACAGGCCATTGCCGTCTCCTCGTCCTCATCCTCGCAGAGCAGGGCCAAGAACTTCACGCGATCGTTGTCGCCTTCGAACATTTTTACGACATCTTCGCTCATCACCAGATTGCACAGACATTGGGCAGCTGCACGAGTGAGATACAGATGATCCTCCATTAGATAAAATTCAATCTTGGACACTCCCTGCTCCTTGATGATCCTCTGGCGGACGCTTTCGTTCATGCTGGCCAGATTGGTGAGCGCCATCAATGCTTCGAAGTTCTCCAGGGCGGTGCAATCCTGCTGCAGGAGGTTCAATAGCGGACGAATCACATCCAAAGAACGCTGGCCGCTGAAAGATACCTCTGGATTGATGGTTATACCAATCCGAGCCAGTGCCTGACAAGCATGACGTTTGCCCTTCTCGGTACCCTCAAGGGCCATGCGAAGAAGTGCTTTAACACCACCATCCTGCACCACTTTGCCCCTCAACTCTCTCAGGCCACAAACGGCATTCAGGACTCGGGCAATCAGCTCTTGAGAATTATGACTCTCCGTTTTGGCCAGGGTACAGAGGGCAGTCGTTATTCCCTCGTTTGCCAGCACCGTGATCCGCTTATTAATGAAATCCACATCATCCAGCTCGTGCTCCTCGGGTATGTGATGCTTGGCAAACTTGGCCAGCTCCACCATCTCGGGCACTAGTTCCTGCTTCTCATACGCATTGCACAGGTTCACAAAAGTGGTGACAACACCATAAATACACGACTGATCTCCAGCTCGAGCCAGATCCATGAGAGCGTGTATCGAAGCCTTATCCTCAATCAGTTTTTCCTTGCATTCGGCATCTAGGGTTAGATAAGCAAGACCATCGGCTGCCCAGCGACGGATGTCCCGATCCTTGCCAGGTTTAATGAGGAAACGACGACATGCCTCCGCCAACTTTAGAGCAGCACCATCGCCAAATGGCCGAATAGCTGCATCCTGTCCACCGTAACTGCCCAGCTTGCAAAGACCCACCAGGGCGCGCACACGAATCGCATCATTCTTGGAGTGATACAAACGCTTGAGGATATCCACACCCTGCTCACAGAGAGCCTTGGCCTTATCCTTTTTGGATGAGGCGGATATCAAGCACTCGCAGGCCACCCGCTGCTGCAGCTCATCGTCGGTGGTGGCCATGGCCAAAATCATCTGCAGGATGCCTGAGAAAGTAAAACAAAGGTTTAGTTAAAGATTCTAGATTTATCTCTTGATTGTTGCTTACCCTCCCTGGCAATGACTTGATTTCCCACATCCAGGGGCCCACTAAGTAGAGACGAAATTGCCACAGTTACTCGCACCTTCGACTCCATATCGGGCGCCAGCAGCTTATCTTTGATGAACTCATCGATTTGATCCGTGAACTTCTGCTTGGCTTCGTCATAGTACATGTTCTCGTATATGCGGGCCAGACAAACCGAAGCAATCGTTGACGATGAGCCGGTGATATCCATGGCACTCTCGTACTTGTAATCCGGCAATTCGGAGCACACCTCCAGCAGGCGGCACAGGCCCCGGATCTCCACCAGACGCTCAGCCCACTCCAAAGCCGAGTAGTGAACATTTCTGGTGATCAGCTCCATGACCGCATCTCGAGCAGCTCCAGAAATTGTACGATCCGTTATGCTATACACGAGACATGTGAGCAGTGTGTCAATCTCCCGGTTATTCTTAGCGCACAGCTCTTTGTTTGGCTTGGCGTCCGCCTTGTTCTTCAATCCCGACAAGGCATTAATGATGGTTTGCAGGCAATACTGGGCAGTGGCCACGCAGTCCTCGTGTTTCTGGTCAAAGACTCGCATGAACCAAGGGACTCCCAGCTCCGTGAGTACGCCCTTCGTACGCTCAACGCTATTTTCGCAAAGAGCGGCCACCACACGCACCATGTTCACATAAATGTCCTGATCCTTTTCCAGCTTGGCCAGCGTAGCCACCTTCTGGATACAGTGTTCTTTGTACATGAGCTCCGCTCCAGCCTGCTCCTTGGCCAAAACGACCAGGTTATTGGCTGCAGAGCGTCGCTTATCGATGGGGGCGGCAAAGTCAAAGGTTAGATCCATCATCTGCTTCACCTTCGTCGAGGTTTTGGCATTGCGTGCCACTCGCTCCTCCACGATGACATGGAGCCTTTGAAGCATGGGCTGCACAGTTTTGTTACCCGGATCCGCCTTGAACAATGCAGTGGCATCTTTGTAGGCCTCCTCAAACCTTTCCAGAGCCTCATACGCCTGCGCCCGCCGGAAAAGGGCCTTGGGATCCCCGGGAGCCGTCTTCAACGACTCCGTGCAGTCCTCCAAGGCGTTCTCGTACTGCTCCAGCTTCAGATAGGCGGCAGCACGGTTCTTGTAGAATACGGGCAGCTCCTTGTGTTTGGAACCCATTTTAATGGCATTGCTGTAGTGCTGCACTGCCTCCTCCCAGCGGGAGGCCTTAAAGGCCTCATTTCCCTTATCTTTATAGGTACCGGCATCGGTTACCTCCTCTGTGCTGATCGCGTTCGTCATGGTTACACAATTCTCCTCTTCTGTACGACCAGAAACAGGCTTTAAATGGAACTCCTATGAGTGCGACGAGACAAATGACTCACGATTTTGGTGGCCGATTGGTTTTGTGGCCTAAAATTCGACTGCCAGAAACTTCTCGATCGATCTCGTACAGCAGCACACACACACAGGTTTAGGTCGGCAGATGGCCAGCGGGAAAATCAAGCACGCTGTGTCGGAAAACTCAACAAAACCGAAATTCGTCTGCCCCCTAGAACTAACTATTTTTATTTTTATTTATAGACGGCCGTGCTGCCAGACGTGTGAAAGAACCGGCGCGAGGGCTGCCACCTGGCGCGATGACTTTAAATCTAGCGCTTTCAAATCGATAACAAAATCTACCCCCTTGGTGGGTAGTGAAATCACTAGTCCTCAGTATATAGCAAGCTTTTAAAGAAAGTTAAAATATGAAGTTAAATTATAGTCAGGTACATAGTTTTTCCTCTTTATTTATTTATTAAGTAGCCCAATAAAAATAATAGGAGAAAGAATTAATACAATTTCCTCAAATCAAGCAAAATGATATCGCTGTAGTTCCATCTCTAGGCCAGGTGAACAACTTCAAGTTCAAACAGCTGATCCGTTTTGTTTTGGCTTTCATGTGATATAACTTAAAGAAAACAACCCAAACAGCGCCAGGGAAAGCGCCGAAGGAAGGCAATGATGTTCCAGCACGGCTTCCTGCTCTGGCGGCAGCTCGTCCTGTCCCGAAACCTGCACCTGAGCGTGGCCCAGCAGATGAGCCACTACGACGCCCTTGGCATTGGAAAGAGGTCCACACAGAACGAAATCAAGGCAGCCTACTATAAACTGTCGATGCTATATCATCCGGATAAGAACAAGGGCAGTGAGAGTGCCGCCAAGAAATTCCGCGAGATCACCCAAGCGTACGAGATCCTGGGAAACTACAGGTTACGTCGCCTGTACGACAAGGGCATCGTCCACACAGCCGGCTCGCAGTATGCGCAGGATATCCACGACATGGCTGAACCCGTGGTGGAGGATGATCCGGAGACCAAGTTCTACAAGTCACGTTTCCAGAAATCCCGAGTCGCCGACTCAGAGGGACGGACGCCCATTTATGACTTTGACGAGTGGTCGCGTAGTCACTATGGCAAGTCCTTTGACCGGAGACAGGCTGCCCAGGCCAAATACGATCGAATTAAAGTGCAAAAGGAGTCAAACAAGATATCCAGCCAGACGGATATGGTTCTACTCTCCCTCCTCTTCGCCGGCGTGGCTATATACCTGATGTTCCTTGCCGAGAGCTCGTACGACACGCCCAAACAGCGGGCGGAGCAGCGGCACCGAAGGGAGCGCGAGGAGCTTGAACGAGAAGAACAACTGACCGCTCGTAAGCAATCATAGGGGTTCTCTAGTCCAATGTGTACATAGAGTTAAGCTTTAAATGTTTAAATGAATGAAAATGGCTATTTTTGTTGATAAAGATTAACTATAATCAGAACTTTCCGCTACGCTTGCGCGCTGTATATTTAGTATCCGGACGTGTTTCTAATCCTTGGCGACGGCGCCGCTCCTTCTTGGCCAGAATCCAATCGCGGGATTTCTTGGGCGCCTTGCCCCGTGCGTCCCGGCATGCATCACGTTTCTTAATGTAGTTGACCCGCCGCTCCTCCTCAGGAGAACCTGCAAAAAGGGAAGGTTATTCGTTGATTCTTTTGATGGGAAAGTCAAAAATCTCTTACCCAAGGCTTTGGGCAACTCCGCCGTTCCACCAGTCATCAGCACTAGGTAGTACTTCTTGGCCTTGGCCGAATTGGGATAGTCCACGACTAATCCACCATAGAACCCCGCCTTCATGGCCTGCGAGGTAACCATTTCGATTTGGTCAGAGTTCTCCGGATAAAATTGGAAGACAGCGCGGGCGGTGCGCGTGAGACATGAGAACAGGGTGGTGAAGAACTTGAGCAGGCGCTTGTGCGGATTGTGATACGACTTGTCGGCATTGCAGAGCCACTGGAGGGCAGAGATCGAGATGGCTCCGTCAAAGGTGCCCGGTTTAAAGGGCATGCCCTCGCCCATATCACCCAAGATGACATCCCCAGCCACCTCGCGCTCCACAGCAATGTCTAGCATGGCCTTAGATATATCAATGCCGATCCACATGTGTTCGCTCTCCTCCAGGACGCTCCCCGACAGCCCGGAACCACAGCCAATGTCCAGAATCAAGCGAGATTCGTCGTCATCTGGAAGGGCGAGCAGTTCCAGAGCCCGTTCTGCCATTTCAATTTGGATGTCAATGATGCGGGTGCTACATATACAAAGATGTTTAATTATAGATAGTGCTTTTTAAGAAATTTACTTACTTTGTGGAGTATTTCTTCGCCTCATCATCGTTGTAGAACTAGAAATGTAATTTGATATAGTTTAATTATTAACGTAATTTGTTTGTTTTTCACTCACAATTTCCGGCGGTGCTGAGTGCTCGGGTCTTCTGGCCATTTTTACTGTATTTTATGTAATTTTCAAAGCTCTAAATTCGAAGTTCTGCAACGTTTCCAAATAAACAAAAAAAGAACTCAACTACACGTGCAACAAACAGCTGATTGTCATTCGCCACGAAACACCTAGAGTATTGCGTCTGATATCAACAATGTTATCGCTTATTTGTCATCACTAACAACCAAACTCACACAAGTGGATTTTTAAATCATTCGTTACTTTTTCAACTTGCGTGTAGTCTTTGGAAGCTCTTTGAAACATTTTTTATCTATTTCGCAGTGTTATTCCGGAAAAACTGCGAAAATTATCATAGGAAAGAGTAAAGCCGGCTATTTTCGGTGAGCGGTATGGCAATCCCACCGTTAAGTGTTACCGTTTGTTGAAAACGCTAAATTGTCAAATGTTTTTCATTTCCTTCGGTATTTTCAGTCGAGTAAAGTGGCACCTAGCAAGCAGTGAAAAGTCGTGAAAAATGCAATAATTTGTTTAAATTAAAAGCAATAAACATGTGAAAAGTGATATTCCAAGTGAAGACGTGTCAGTGCATCAAGTGAATCGGTGAGTGCACCTCAAATAACCCCATAAAACCCCAACAAAGCAACACTTGCATGGGACCGCTGTAGGTGTGGGTGTGGGGGGAATTGGGGAATTAATAGGCTGTGCATGAGTGTGTGACAGTTCTGACGCGTCAACGTCAACAAATACACAGTCTAGGTGCTAATTAGCATTCGTAAACGGAAATGCAAAAGGCCTGTCTGTTGTGCCAAATGTTTGTGTGTTGTGTTTATGTGGGCGTAAGCGTTCCTAAAAACTAGTGACACAAATCGCGGTGGAAACCTGTTATGCTGACCCGTTTACCTTGCTCCGATTCTCTGAAAAAGCGAAATCTATCCTAGCCTGAAAAAAAACAATAACAACAGGTTAAAGTATTGCTCTCTCGCTCTCTCTCTCACTTGCTGCCTGTCCAGCTGTTTTTGCCGGAACCGCCCTCTGTCTCTTTCTTTCCTTGCTGATCTGTAAGTTGCATCAGTGACTGTAAAACTGAAGGCGAGTGCATTTCAAACCGCATTAAAACTTGCATTTCTTTTAACGCAAGCTTACGTTGTTTTTTGTATACTTTTTGATAAATAAATGAAGCTACCGAATTCAGGTTTACAAGCGGCGGCACCTCGGCTGTGTTTGTGTACATTTTGCATATTTATGAGTCGCCATTTGGGGGGACAAAACAGGTTCTTCTTTTTGGCAACGGAACATCTTTCACTCTTTCCAAGAACAAGATTCCCCCTGCTCATCGCTGGTTACAAAATTTACGCAACAAGCCACCGATCTTGCGGTCGCTGGCCTCTCCACTCAACGAGTTTGCCAAAAACCCCAAACAAGAAAGTAGTAGGGGAACACCGACAAGCAAAGGTTTAAATACTCTTAGGAGTCAATAATTCTTTTAATTCTGGGTATTATGTTTAATATATTATTGAATTGAGAGCTTTGGAAATGAGATATTCTTCTATAACATGAAACATTCTATTAGTATTGTAATTATTCTAATGGAGGGAGGCTTAAAGGTAGACTTTGCTTGGCTTATTACGCACTTGGTCAATTTCTTTAGAACCTTGAAGCATTTTTCGCAAGACCCCTTGATAGAGTATAAACTACAAACCGAACCCGACGTTGTCATCCATTTTGGAAACCAGATACCGATACGGGGACAAAGACAAAGACACCAATGCATAGGCACCCAACTACAGATGCTCGCTGGCTGCTGGGAAGAGTCAGACAGAGCTTCAGTTGAGTGGCTCCAGTTAGCCAGAGCAAACCGTTCCCGCCGGAAGAAAGTAAGAAAAAAATAAACGTGAAATGCGCAGTGGGTTAAGCCTTGGTCCACTGCTAGTGGCGTTGCTAGTGGGTCACCTGGCGGCTCCAGTGGCGCCTGCTAACCTGCTGACCAGCTATCTGCCCGCCTCCATGCAGGCCTTGGCCTACTACATCGATCTGCTGCAGTACGAACCTTTATCGAGCACCACCGTGGAGCCCCCCTTCAATGCCGATGATGGAGGAGTCATGGAGTCCACGACAGGAATTCCGCAAAGGTCTACAGCAGCACCAACGAGAATAAGGACTACCACACGAAAACCTAGTGGGGGAGCAGGAGGATCCGGATGGTGGCAGCCGCCCAGTTGGTGGGAGACACCACAGAGAACCTCAACCACCCAGAAACCCACATCGCCACCTACAAGGCCACACCGGCCGGCAATTTTCTCTCCAGCTCGTAAAGCGGAAACGGAAAGAGTGCTGGAGGGTTATGCTCTCTTCGAGGAGATTGGAGATGATGTGGACTTTGATAAGCTGCCCTTGTCACTAATCCGTGACATACAAAGCGAACACGATGACTTTACCAACGATGTCGAATCGCTGGATAACTTTCTGCGACTCTACGACGATAACTACGGAAGGGCCGCCTTTGACTTTGAGTCCGCCATGGATCGATGGAGCACTGCTTCTATAGCGGGCAAGAAGAGGGTGCCACCCACCAAGCCCTACGTTGACTTTCTGCTGGTCTATGATCTGCTCAAGCGAGACGCCAAAGCGGCAAATCTCAGCAAGTACGAGGGTTACTCCGAGGATCTACTGGAGCAGCTCCATGAACTGTCGCAGGCTTCTTCGGCCAGACAATTGCACACACTCTTCCAAAGAATGCTGGACCGTGGCGATGTCCAGCGAAGTGATGTGGTGGCTCGTGTCCAGGGTATCGTCAAGGATCTGGGCAATCCCAAAAGCGCAACAGCCAAGGCTTTGGCCTTTATACCCAGCATGCAATTTCTACCCTAAGTGCCTAGAGATACGATCAATATAAACTCGAGGAACCCACCAGTTGACCTCATCTCTGTGTGATTGGATTTAATACTTTCATTTAATAAAAATATTACGACTTTTTGATTCGTTTAGGCTAAATGCATTTAAATTCCAGGCATTTTTATTCGATTTCAAAAACTAGACTGACTTATTTGCCACTCCTGTATAGAAATATGGCTCATTTTGAAGTTTTTGCACCTAATATTTTCAAATTATAATACCATTTCAGAATATTTTATTATATTTAACAATTATTATTATTAGTCAAAACTTTGAAACGTAGTGAAAGAGACATTTCCTACCCTTTAAATCAAATATATTATTGATCAGCATCAACAGTCGAGTCGATCTAGACTTATCCGAAAGAAAAACAAAATTTACAAATTTTTTAAAAGTTTATAAGGGGTTACGTCGTTAAAGTTTTTAAAATTTTACAAAAATTGAATTTTTGAATTGAATTTTTACAATTTGAAAACCTAATATGCTGATTTGTAAAGCCTTAATAGGGTTTACCAGCACAGAAAAGTTATCCGTATTAGTTATTAGTTACCATATTTAAAAAACTTTGACTTAACAAAAAATTTAAATATAAATATGCCCTAACACAATTGCAAACTTAAGCTTCCCATAGTTTACTTCTATTCTTGGTTTTAGTACTATAAATTTTCCAACCGGAAGCCCGTTCGCCACCATTTTGTGGCACAATGGCTTAACTGACACATTGGCATAGTTTAGTGGGTGTTAATGTGTTATCGATAACGGGTCAACCGGCTGCTGATGGCCGCTTTTGTTGCTGCACTTTGCATCAGCTGTTTTGATGACGTCGCGACTACATCTCTCACCCTCTCTCTTACACACGGTGGCGCTCTCTTTTACCCTCTTAGCCTTCACCCTCTCCCTCTTGTTTGCCTGCCGCCCACTTGTGCTCTTACGCTCTGGCTGTCTCTTTGGCTGCACTGTGGGTCTTGTAGAGCAAACATCCCAACTAAAATAATATATTAAATAGGAATTATATGTTATTATATGTTAAAAAGATTAAATTAAATTAAAACAAAGATGAGAAAATATTTAAATCAAACCAGTCGGAATGAATTTTATTGATATATTTTTTTATTGCACTACTAATATTCCCTTTTATAGAAAACCAGTTTAAATATTTATTTTTCCATATCAAAAACCCTTTTTTCACTAAATAATTTAATCTAATCTTGCCTTTTTCTATTACTTTTAACAAAATACAGCGCTCAAATTAAGGCGCTGGATTGACTCTTTCGTCCCACTGTGCGTTGGCTTTCTGCCACACTTGGTGGCTGGGCTTTTTTGCCAGCGTTGAACGCTCTTTGATTTCATTTTGTTTTGTATTTGGTGCGCGTAGCAAGCGGCTCTTGCTCTGCTCGTTTTTCAAAGTTCCGCCCGTGTAATCTCATTCAATTCGAATCATGTTTTTTGCTTATTTCCAATTTATTAAGTGATAGTTATTGATATTTAAATGACATAATTTATTTCTAAAGTTGAACTTGAAATAAAAATACAACAACTTACAACTCTTGTTGAGGCAGTGAAAAAATTCGGTTTCTTAGTTGGTGGAAAAGTTATCGATTTGTGTGAAAGTTGCAGGCTGCTGCAGATTGGCGAAAGAAAGTTTTCTGGAAATGTGAAGGAAAGAAAGCAATCATAACAATGGAAAACTTAAACTTTGCACGCACACCGCAATTTCTGCGCAAAGTTATCTACGAAGCGCGCAGGTAAATGCAAAAAGCAAAAACACACACAAAAACAATGCAATGGGGTGGGTGACAGGGCGCACGGGGTGGCAGGGGTGAAAAAAGGGAAAAGTCAACCCTCCAGTGTTGAAGAAGTAACACCACCCACCGGCGACCGGGTCACCCTGTACGCACCGAGGTACTCCGTCTAGCCGGGAATCAAGTTGAATTTGTGGCTGGTTCTTAATTCTTAGCCTTCTTCTTGATTCTCGTTTCTTGCACCTCACAGGTTTTACTTGTTTTCCTTTTTCAAGTGGAGGCGGCGAAGTCGAAGTCGGAAAAGAGGCGCTGCAGCAGCCGGGGTTAGCGTCTTATGTAACATAACTCGAACGCCAGCAGACGTCAGTGGTTGAGTGTCCTCCTCATGCCTCCAGATTTCTTGGCCTTCTTCGAGTTTGAACAGCTAAGGGTACAAAAATAGGCATACCCCAGAGAATAAGTTTAATTCAGTATTCAGTATGGTCTTCTTATTAAATCTAAGGCATTACAGCGAATATATTTCTATTAACATCGTTTTAAACCGCGAGGCAATTTCAAAGATATGTCTTTTAATGGTAAAAAATAATATATTTTAACTAAAACATATACAGCTAGTCTTCCAAAAATGATTTCTGAGAAAATTGATATATATTTCCTTCAATTTCATCACCGACATGTTCTACTTATACTCACAGATAGTTTTTCCCTAAAAACATTTATAATTTACAACAAATCATGTTATTTTGACCACAGCTGTACTTCTGCAAATATGTAAGAGGGGTTTGTGCATGTGCAACACGCGTCACTTGAGGCATAAAACCGCATACAAAGCCAAAAGACAACAAAGCAACCGAGAGAAGGAGCTGCAACGATTTGGAAACCCTTTAAGGCCTAGAACCCCCAAGCCGGGGATACCCTTAAAGAGCTCAGCAGTTAGTCATAGGAAAATGCATATATGTATATTTGTATACATTCATATATGTACATGCAATTCTGAAAAAGTCATCACAAAAAAGTATGAAGTCATCTTACTAGGATTTCGAACCCACAGGAAGTTTAAATACCCTTCTATTTTATCCATTTTATTTTTAAATTGCTTAGGTATTTATTCTTCTTAATGGTTTAGATAAAAAATCTGATAAGATTATCGAAAGTATCTCACTGAATTATCCTCGAAACATTTAGATGTACAATTTGCATTATAGATTTGAAAATTGTAGAGTATTCTCCTTGAGACCAGAAGCGTTGGCTTGCATGCCAATGCCATGCCCCATGGTGCACCTCTTTCCCCATCTCCCCAATCGTCCTTACTCCTCGATGCCTTTGTTTTCGGCCACGCTACCCCATTACCCAAAGCCGGCGGCCATCATTTCGTGTTTCCTACACAAGGGCCTCTTCTCCTTCTCCTCCTCCTAGTACTCTCCTCCCTTTGATTCTCACTAGGAACAGCCTTTGTTTCGGATTAATAATTTGGCTCCTCGTCCGCCATCTGTGTCAATGGGTGTTGCTATCGAGCCCAAGGCAACAGCAGCTTTTCTCGCACTTATCAAATCCGAATGTGTGTGTGAGGAAAACAAAAGAAAATGGGGCGGGTAGTGGGTGGATTTATTCAGAATGGTAAATGATGCAGCTTCCGTTTGAAACAAGTCGAACCTTGATGGGTTCCAAGTGATGTATTTAAATATGTTTTTTCGGCCTGTCATCAGCATTACCATCGTCATAGTCATCTTATATACATATATAAAAAAAGAGTGTGATGCATGCTTTTCCACACAATTCATTCGTCATGATTTCCCCACTTTCCTCTGCCTTTTTTAACTAAAAGTTTTTGTGCTTTGTTCATAGGGTTCTTTACAAAATAGTTGGGTTTTTATCATACATAGTTCCATCCGGGTTTAGAATGCCTTAATAGATGTAACACAAAACCTAATTTTCATTTATTTTTATACATTTTTTGTGATGACCTAATTCCCAATTCGATATCTATATTTAAATAAAAGAAATGTATCTGAAAATATGGCGTTAATCGATAATGCAGCTGTAATTTTAGTAAACGGATTCTTTAGTATCAAATGACAAGGTCAAAGCCTCTTCTCAAGCAACCCAACAAAACCGACACATCGTCGTCAGCCATATGTTGATTTTAATTAATGAAACATTCCGCAATTTATTTTGTTATTTATTTCTCACTCTCCCTCTCTCTCGGTGGCACTCTCTTTGCAGATCGTTTATACACAGCGATCCCGCCGCTACCTCAACCGCCGGTTCCCACCCAGACAGAGAGGAGGAGGAGGAGGCGTCATCCGAAATGGAACTCGCCCACACTTTGACCCTCAATGAGGAGGCCCTCAAGCAGCTGCCGGAGCACAAGCGACCGGTATTTGAGTTGGAGTGGCTGCGTTACCTGGAGAAGGCCCTGCCCACTGTGGCCAAGCATGAGATTAAGGCCAGCCAGAAGAAGCTGGTGCAGCAGCTGTCAGAGCGAATCCAGGGTGCCCCTGGTCCGCCCATGCGAAAGCTCATTGCCAGTGCCCTGGCCACTCTGTTCTCCGTCGGCGACACTTTTATGCTCTTCGACACTGTCAATGCCTGCAATGATATTCTTAAGAATAAGGATGACTCGCCCAGCTACCTGCCCACCAAGCTGTAAGTAAACTACACCTAGTAAAATATATTCTACTATTTAATTCAATGTTTTATCTTGCAGTGCTGCCATCTGCGTGCTTGGATCGATGTACGAGAAGCTGGGACGGATGATGGGACGAACCTATGAAGACACTGTGCAGATACTCATCCGCACTCTGCGAAATGCCGAATCCCAGGCGAGAATTGAGATTATGCACACCTTGGAGAAGGTGAGCGCTGGCATGGGAACAGCCATTGCCAATGTCCACAAGGATATCTACAAAGCAGCCAAACACTGTCTTCTGGATCGAGTAATGGCCGTTCGAGTGGCCGCCGCCCGTTGCATTCTCAAAATGATTTATAGCGCATCATTTCTTTACCAAACTGAGCTCGAGAGCCTGGGAACTCTTTGTTTCCGTGCCTTCGATGGAAGTAATTACGAGGTTCGGTGTGCTGTGGCTCAGCTTCTGGGCACACTTTTGGCCTACACGCAGCAACTGGCTGAAGCAGCAACGGGAAATAAGAAGCAGGCTCAAGCAGTGGCTATGCAGGCGGCTAAAGGAGCCACTCAGCGTTTGGTCTCCCTGGATGAGGCACTCGGCATCCTGATGTCCGGATTCCTGCGCGGAGGAGCCTCATTTCTTAAAGGAACCGGGGAGATAATCAAAGGAAGTTCGGGAGTCAACAGAGAAGTACGAGTGGGTGTAACGCATGCCTATGTCGTCTTTGTCCAGTTCATGGGCAGCGTTTGGTTGGAGCGACAATTGAGCACGTTCCTGGCACATGTTCTGGATCTGGTGGCGAATCCAAAGGCAGCCTGTTCTCACGTGGATGCGGTGTACTCCCGCAAGTGCATCAACTTCATACTTCGTTCCACAATTGGCAAGATGCTGGGCGAGAAGGCACAAAGTGCCGCCTGCAAGGAACTCGTCCATTTGGTGGCCAAGCAGATGAACTCCATTGACTTCAATCCGGAGAACGCTAAGGACTCCAACCAAGAGACGCTCTTTAGCCAGCACCTGCTGGTGTGTGCTCTGCAAGAATTGAGCTCTCTACTGATTGGATTGGGTACCACGGCGCAGAACCTTTTAGGTGATCAATCCTTGCAAGCAATCGACGCCACTTGTGCCGTTCTGGTGCATCCTTGTGCCGCAGCCCGCTTGGCAGCCGCTTGGTGCTTGCGATGTGCCTGTGTTGCGGTTCCGGGTCAGATTACTCCCTTGATTGACCGCTTTGTGGAGGCCATTGAGCAAATGAGATCATCGCCAGAGGCCATCGCGGGCTATAGCTGCGCTTTGGCGGCCATTTTGGGTAGCGTTCGATACTCGCCCCTGGGCATTCCCCACACCAAGGGCAAGGTCGTGTTCAATTGTGCAGAGGAATTGTTGCGATCAGCTTCCCAGAATAGTCGCATGTCGCTGCATCGCACTCAGGCCGGATGGCTGCTGATTGGTGCAATTATGACATTGGGATCACCTGTGGTCAAGGGTCTGTTGCCTCGGATGTTGCTCCTTTGGCGAAACTCATTCCCGAGGTCTAATAAGGAATTGGAATCGGAAAAGGCACGCGGAGATGCTTTCACCTGGCAGGTGACACTGGAGGGACGTGCCGGTGCTCTGTCCGTGATGCACAGCTTCTTGCTGAATTGTCCGGATCTGGTTACGGAGGATATAACCCGAAGGCTGCTTACACCGATTGAGAGTGCTCTGGCTATGCTGGTCAAGTGAGTCTATCAAATCATAAATGTATATATTTTGTATTAATTTTATTTTATTTATTGCAGCTTGGCCTCTGTCCTCAAGAGCTACGGCACCCAGCTAAAGGCTCCGGCGGCTATGGTTCGCTTGCGGCTCTTCGAGACTCTCACCTTGCTGCCAGCGAATGCCCTGGAAGCCTCCTATACACATCTCCTTCGCATGCTAGTCTCGGAGTTTACGCTTTCGGATAATGCGGCAAATACCACGAATTCGTTGCTCCGTACACTTTGTCATGGCGATGATTCTATCATTCTTGGAACATGGTTGCAGGAAACAAATCATCGCACCATTGAAGATCAGGTAAGGTTATATTGGACAGGACATATGGGACTGTATATTCGTCTAAGTGTGTTTGTGTGACCTCTTGATCCCAGGGCGTAGGCTAAATATCTCCAAAAATATCACAATTAAATTAATTCCTAAACCCATCTGATAACTTCTGTGATACACCCTTTCTTACTGTACATTCTCTATCCAATCTCTTTCCTCTCTCTTGATATATAATTGTGCATTGATCCTAAGATGGAGCCCAATCGCAAAGTCGATGGCGAGCATGTAAGTGGAGTGCAATGCAATGGCTAAACGTGCTTTTTTCCTCTTACTCCAATTTAATATATATATTATTCATATGCATGACTATACTATCTTAAGTATTTCGATGTTAATCTTTTCTTTATGTGCATGCATAGGCTTTTTTCTTTTATTTATTATTTTATATATTTAGAACAATGATTACAAGTTAAAAATGGTTTGACTTCTAGACTCGTTTATTGAGTTGCTTTTTGGGCAGCTTCTTGACGAGAGCCCACCTAAAATCCTTAATTATTTGTTGTAGTTTTTATTATTTTCATTTCTTCAAAGATAAGACAAACTCATATACACTATCTAACTCACTCTTGTATCTTTTGTTTAGCTGCAACCGAATAGCGCCGCTGGATCTGGAGCATTGGAGCATGATCCCTGCTGCTTGTACCGTCCCAGTTGGTCCGTCCAGGGCAATGGATCTACCACTGGTGGTACTGCCTCATCAGCATCAGCATCGTCTGGCGTAGGAAGCCCCGGCAGTGGAATGACAAACAGCATTCAGTTGATTAGCAAAGTGCAACAGTGTCCAGGACCCTTGCCCCTAGGAGTGGCTGTGATCGATATGGCTGTCACTCTCTATGGCACCATCTTCCCCAAAGTGGCCAACAAGCATAGGCTGCAGATGCTGGAACACTTTGCAGAGTGCATTCGACAGGCGAAGAGCAGCAGGCAGGAAGCCATACAAATGAACATATTTACGGCTTTGCTGTGTGCTCTGAAGAATCTGACGGATAGCAAGACGAGCCTGGGGCAGGAGGATGTGCGAAAGAGTGCCACGGCATTGGTGGTGGCCTCGCTGACTAGCCCCAATTCCACGATTCGCTGTGCAGCTGGTGAAGCTCTGGGCAGATTGGCCCAAGTGGTGGGAGATTCCCACTTCACCGCCGAGTTGGCACAAAATAGCTTCGATAAGCTGAAGTCAGCGAGGGATGTGGTCACAAGGACAGGACATTCGCATGCCTTGGGCTGCCTTCATCGCTATGTGGGCGGCATGGGCTCGTCACAGCATCTGAGCACAAGTGTGTCCATCCTCCTCGCCTTGGGTCAGGACAGTGCATCACCGGTGGTCCAAGCTTGGTCACTTTATGCATTGGCGCAAATTGCCGATTCCGGCGGTCCCATGTTCCGCGGTTATGTGGAGGCCACCCTGACGCTATGCCTGAAGCTGCTGCTTACTGTTCCCCATGCCCACGTGGATGTTCATCAGTGTGTGGGACGAGTGGTGAATGCTTTGATCACCACCGTAGGACCAGAGCTGCAAGGTTCAGGTGGAGGAGTGGCCAACTTAAAGGGATCCTTCCTTTGCTCGGCAGCTCTTCTCCAAGCCCACTCGGATTCCCTGGTGCAAGCAGAGGCCATTGGTTGCCTGCAGCAGCTGCATCTCTTCGCCTGTAAATCCCTGCAGCTGGAGGAGTTGGTGCCCACGCTGGTTGGAATGCTGTCCAGTAACTATTTCATCCTGCGCAAGGCCTCAGTGTCGTGTCTGCGTCAATTGGCTCACCGAGAAGCCAAAGAAGTGTGTGACTTGGCCTTAACCATTAACGCCGAGCAGCTTCCGGACTTGGTAATCACGGAGTATGGACTGCCAGGATTGCTCTTTTCGCTGCTGGACACCGAAACGGATGTCGAGATGCTGAAGAATATCCACGACACGCTCACTTCCATGCTGCAAATGCTGGCTGCGGACAATCTTAGCTCGTGGTTGAGTCTCTGCAAGAATGTGCTAACCGTGGCGGTGGAAGGTGGACTCAATGATGATCCCGCTGGCGGAGATCCGAACAAGAGCAAGGATGCAGGCGGAGCAGAGCAGGAGGAGGAGGACGAAGAGGAGGAGTACGCCGATGATGTGACCGAATACCGAGCAGAGGAGAATACTTCCACCCATCCCGCAGTGCAACCGAGGTGGCCAACTCGGGTCTTTGCCGCTCAGTGCGTGCGGCGGATCATCTCTAGCTGTGAGGCTGCTAGCTCCGTGCACTTTGACCTTCTGCAGGCTAAGGAGCAGCAACTGATACGATCTCGTGGAGATTATCTCATCCTGCATTTAGCGGAGCTCATTCGTATGTCCTTTATGGCCGCCACATCCGATTCGGATCAGCTTCGATTGGAGGGTTTGCGCACGCTGCAGGAGATCATTGATCGCTTTGCCAACGTTCCCGAGCCCGAGTTTCCCGGTCATTTGCTACTGGAGCAGTTTCAAGCTCAAGTTGGGGCCGCCTTGCGTCCTGCTTTTGCTCCCGATACACCATCTCACGTCACGGCCGCCGCCTGTGAAGTTTGCTCCGCTTGGATTGGCTCCGGAGTCGCTCGCGATATTGGAGATTTGAGGAGAGTCCACCAGCTGCTTGTTAGTTCGCTGAGCAAGCTCTCCACGAAAACCAACAGCACGCAGTTGTATAATGAATCCATGGCCACGCTGGAGAAGTTGAGCATCCTGAAGGCCTGGGCAGAGGTGTACATTGTGGCCATGTTGGGAAATGGCAAGGCTCCCGCTTCGCTACTGAGCCTGCAATCCCAACAGTCGGGCGGAATTCAATCTATAACCAGCGGTGTGGAGACCAACGATCAGGATCTTCCTGCGGAGAGCCGAGGAGAGAGTCTTCTTGGCTTGGTCCAACCAGAGCTTCAGAATCTCTCCGCTCACTGGCTGAGTGCCATGAAGGATCATGCTTTGCTCCTGCTCCCAGCGGAATTCCAATCCCAATTGCCGCACGACGGCGGTGCCTTCTACACCACGGACACCATCAACTCCTCGAAACCCCACTACATGACCAGTTGGCCACCAATCCTCTATGCCTCTGCTCTCTGGCTGCGAGATGAGGGTTTCGCTCGTCACCAGGATACAAGGGAAACAACGGCGGAGTCGAATAATAACCAGATAACTCATGGATCACTCTCGGCTGATCGCTTCCACATGATCTTCGGCATCTGCATGGAGGCCTTGTGCAGCATGAGGAGCTCGGAAAGACCGAGGAATATAGTAAGCTGCCTGCGATCGCTCCACAGCATCTTCGATTCGGATTGGGCCAGAAGGCAGTTGGTTAAGGATCGAGCCTTAACCATTGAGCTCTGCCATGTTCTACACCGACAGATCCTGACCAGAGATGAACTGCTCGTGCAACTGCTCTGCATGGAGATCCTAAAGCAAACAATTCGAGCCGCCAAGGAGGATTTGGATAGAAAACGGGATGATAATGCTAATTCAGAGGAAGGAAACGGATCAGAACGAATTGGGGAGGATGATTCCATGCAGCCCGGAAGCTCTCATGTCTACGCCGTCTTGGAGGTGTGCCTCTGCCTCTTTGTCCGCCAAATACCGAGCATGAATCCGACGAGACAAGGAGTTGGTGGCTCTGGAGGTCTTCAGCTTGACTTTGCCTATGCCAAAATGGCAACCGGGTCCTCCTTCTTCTCGGTACTGGGCGATGATAACGGCTTACTAGTGGCCACCGGACTGCAATGCGTAGAACAATTATTGGATTTGTGTACTCCCAAAGGTGCCCTAGGCATCCTGCCCACCGTCCTCTACATGACCACCAGTATCGTTAAGGAGATAGCCAATAAGTCGGCCATAGATAGCACCATTTTGGCAAATACCAGCGCAGTGAAGGCTGCTCTCCAGTGTCTGCGTTCCGTTTGTGTCCACAAGTGGGCCAAGGTGGAGGAAACATCTGAGGAGTGGCAACAGCTGCTCCAAAGCTCCCTGGCCACAATTGTGGATCTTACGAAGACGGCCGGTGATAATGAGGAGAAGCGAGTTGATGAAGTCACCATGTTGCTGGCCATCGCTGTCTTCATCCTGCACACACCTGCCTCCGTGGTGTCCACGCCATCATTGCAATATCCCTGCATAAATCACTTCAGACAGTGCCTGCAGTCGGAGCACCTCTCTGTGAAGCTGCGATGCATCGAAACCACCCGATCGATCTTCGCCAAAGCGGACCTGAAGACAGCCACTCCATACATCCACGCCCTGGCGCCACGAATCATTGAGTCGCTGTATGCCGAGTCTAGCAAGGTCCCGGCCAGCGAGCTGGAGTTGCAGGTCACCATCGAGAGCATTGTCACCGTGGAGCAGCTGATCGATTTGGCAGAGCCACAGCACCGTGAGTGTGATTGTTATATATTTGATAATACTTGCACAATATCTTGCTCTTGCCCTCCTCTTGCTCTTCGAGGTACTCCTGTGAAACTGTTACTCCTTTTACAACTAATAGAAACTGTGGGCGAATGGGATAAATGTCTAGAATAGAGAATAATTTATAATTATTTTAAGAGTATGTTTTAAGATGATATATTTATATTATCTGCGAACCTATAGGTATCAACCTTTTCTTAACTTATACAAACTTGATCAGGAGTACCCTGAGTTTAGAACTTAGGTAGTTTAAAAGCGGAACGCTATTTCTCCTCAAGCTTTTCTAGTTAACACTATCCCTAATCCAATCCAACATTCTTTTACCTAATAGTCTTTTGCATTGGCCATTCGGCTTTTCTGTGTCATCTCATTATTGATTTTATATATCTGTGGTATAGGGAAAAAATACATAGTACTTTACATTAAGAGCTGCACACACTTTTGAGACAAAAAAAAATACGTTATTATATATATTTGCTCTTTTCTCTGTCTTCCCCCTTAATCAACTCACGAAAATCATATACAAAAACACTAATATAATTATCAAACAAAAATAAACTGTTAGGAAACATGAACTTGCTACAAGGTAAATAGATATATAGATCGATCCAACAAATGCATATGTTTCATGTTGTCAGTACAGTACATTTCAAAAATATAAGACAGTCTTTAATTTGAAAGTAAACTATATTTATATTGAATTAATAATTAATTATGTTACTTAACGTATTCAGGTCTTATATTCTTAGAAAAGTACTGTTTATTGCACTCTCAATGTTTTGAAATGCACCAACAAGCCATAGAATAATGAATATCAAATAGAGATCTAGATGTAGATCTATAAATCACGCTTTAAATGTTGCATGTGTTCGTGAATGTAATATACACCTGGATTTAGCTAGCGGCGTGTGTAAAGAGATGTTCAAAGACCTTCGGTCTAACAAAACTCAACTATTATTAATTATTATTCCCTTTTCACAGACATACAAATGCTGACACTGCTGGTGCCCGTGCTCATTGGATTCTTAGCGGAGCCAAGCAAACTTCGGACGCTGCCCAAATACCAGAAACAACTGCATGACCAGGCGCTGCAGTGGCTATTGAAGATCGGCCCCAAGCATCCGCAGGAGTTTAAGGCTTTGATGGGCCAAACACCGGAGCTGCGACAGAAACTGGAAGCGGCCATTCGAAGCCAACAGCAATCTATTAATATTGCCCAAAAGGCAACGGAGGCGCAGAGAAACCTCCTGGCAAAGCCACAAAAGCCCACGATCAAGTTAAAGACGGACTTTAGTAACTTCCAATAAGTAGAAAGCGGAGAAAAGTCGGAATCAGCCCCCTACACGTAGTCTACAATCCGCGAATGCTAACATAAAAATGCTTAACAATAAAAATGTTCCCACTTTATACAATAGGATGGATTGATCTTGACAATGAATGTTGTTCGGAAGTAGAATTTAATCTTTGGACAATTTTAAGCAGTTTTGCAGGCTCTAAATGTACAGCAAATTTCCCAATATTTAAAAAAAACACCATGACTTTTGTTGTATAATTAAATGTGATTATAAATATTTAATTCTTTTATTTCTTTTGATCGTATACAAAAACGTTTAGAGTGGAAAGCTTAATTGTTTATAATATTATCTAAAGATTACGTTTGCTTGCATCAACAAACTCGAGCCAACCCCGATGCACTTATTGGTGAGGAACTCATGCTGTCCGGCGTATAATTATGCTAAATATATGTGAAACACAATGAAAGTACCTACAAGTTTATAAATTATTTGTTAGCTATTGTAATGAATTATTATACAATAACGCAATAATATACAGTAAAGAATAATAAAACTTATAAAGCTTATTTTAAGTTATACTTTTAAGGAATTATGTAATCTACCTCCATTTCCTGCTTGACAGTGGTGCTCATTATCTCGTCCTCGCTGAGCGGTTCCGATTTGAGGCAGCTCCTCGACTCGCCTTCGGTTAAAATGCTTCCCAGTTGGATGTAATTTGTAGCTGGACGTGGACATTTCGTCAAGGCGGAGGGCAGATTTGTGAACAGGGTTGACTCCAGTCGGCTAAGCAGAGTCGTTCGGTAGAAGAGAGCCCGCAACCGCATACGGAAAAGCTGGATAGCTGGTGAGGATTCATCATAATCGTCGTACGCCTGCGATTCCGAGTCCGAGTCCTGCTTGCGTCCTTCGCCAGAGAGAATGCAAATGCTACGAAATCCCATCATTGTGGAGAAGCTGGGAGGCAGGAGGGGGCTCTGCGCATCATTAACACCATCATCCGGCAGATTCTTCATCATGATGTTGTAGCTCTTGATCAGTTCCTTCGGCAATACGCAACTTTGTATTGTTACAGGAAGCTTCGGTGGTTTATAAGCAAGAGCCCTCGCCACATAGACAAAATTTTTGGAGTCTTGTGGTAGCGAAAAGACAGCCGGTTGTGTAATTGCCAGATTGTAAGCGTATTTAAGAAAGTCGCGGAAGTCCAAGTCGATCTTAGCCATCCTAGCATCAATATCTAACTCGACTCTGGGCCTTTTTGATTTTGGCTTCCGCAAGCGTGACAACTTTCTCTTTTCATCAGCAGCAGCTACTAAGGATGCCGGATCCTTTTGCCATTCCTCCAAACGCTGGGCCCAGTTATCAGACGTGACCACCGATACCTTCTTTGACTTTCGACGAGGTAAATCCTCGACCGTTGCCGAGGGGTTCCGTTCGAGAAATTGCTTGATGACCATGAATCGGGTACGACAGCTGGTACGCGAATGGTTGCCCAGAAATGTGGCGCATTTCACCCACTGCGAGGGTCCATGTTCAGTGACAAAGGCCATCAGGCGTGTATCGTCCCGCACTGACCAGGAATCGGTCTTGTTGCGTTGCGCCAGCACGTTGTGGTAGCGCGTCCGCAGTTGTGCCAAGGATCGGTTCGGGAATAAGGTACGCGGGAAACAGTGGAACTTACCATTGTACTCTTCCACGGCGGCAAACAGCATCATGTCCTCTTTGGTGGTAAAGGGTTCTACAAGTAAGATCGGAAATGTACAGAAAAAGAAGTGGAAAAAGACGGAAGGAAACGTACCGTGACTGATGCTAGGATGCAAAACATAAAAGTAACGGCCAATAAGCGTTGACTTGGACCTGCCCGGAAAATACTCTGCCACATTCTGCCAGTTAATAATGTTATTCGACGTGTTTCGCTCGACCTGCATTCGAAGTCGCTCGTTTTCCTGATCGGTCCAGCGAAGGACTCCCTTCGACTCAACATTATGACGCAGGGCGCTGTGGAAGCGGACGAAGCACTGGTAGTCCGACCGCCGGTCCAGCATATCGGCTATAAGCGCCCAATTCTGCATTCGATTCGCCGTGACCGCCGATATCAGAGACTCATCCTCTTCCGGCGACCAATCGTCGCGTCTGAGATCCGGCCTTAGATAGACGCTCCACATGGCCTCGCAACTGAAGGGGGAATGCCGATACTCAACGTCCAGTGTGCTAATTTGATTCCAATCGATGCTGAAGCTGCTGTCGGCTTGGGTCAAAAGATTTACCAGTGTTATAACGTGTCGCTCAACAGGCTTCCGCTTCCGACTGCTGCTGGGTTGTTCAGCTATCCTGTTGTTACTGTGATCCAACAACTGTAGGATAAAGATTCTATAGTTGCAGTAATTAGGAGGAAACCGAAAGCCTTACTTGTTGTTTAATGCCCATGATCACGTTCTTCTTATCCTTTAATGTCCATACATGCCGGGACCGCATATCAAAGTCGCTGGGAAACATTTCCGTGTGGCAGCGCGTCTCATAGTCATCGTTATTCGGACAGCTACGACCGTCAACGTCTCGGAAGTAGAGGTTTCCCTTGAAAAGGAAGGTACCCTTACGCAGGATCGCTCCGCTAGTGTTGAGTGTCTCCGAGCCAAAATGTGAGCGCGACTTCAAGCGCCGCACCAAGATATCCTCATTCCGGGCATATCGTGCCTTTACAATTTGCAGAAGTTCCAAGATCTTTCTCCGGACTTGCTTCAAGCGGCGCTGCATCTCCTGGTTTAGCAGCAGTGCGTTGGCACCACCTGGCTCGGCGGTGCTCTGCAGTAGGTCTGATATTTCGGCCAGCACCTGGTGGTGATTAAGCCTGAAATCCACGTCCTCCTCATCGCCCATCGTGCCGGAATCGAGTTTGTTTATATTGCTTTGCCAAGAATGCAATTCCGTAATAGTGATGTGTTCAAATAGGCAAGAACTATCGATAGTTTGTCTGACAGAAAAAAAAACTCTAAAGTCGGCTTTTAACTACCCTGTAATTTCTTGGAAAATATGTTCAGTATATAATTCACAATAACCTGGTACTACATAAAGTATATTAAATATAATTATGTAAATATATTTATGAACATACAAAACCTTTAGCAAAAACCAGAATAAATTTACTAAATCAAATCCCAAGCCCGATAACAGGCTGAAATTAGCGAATCAGCAGCGAGCGATAACGGTCTATCGTCTATCGCTTCTGCTCGGGGAAACAACAAAAGAGAACAGAGAGAAAAACGCGTAGTAGCAGAGTTGGGCAACTTAATTAACAAAATTCGCGGTGAATGCGCTAGCGTAACATGGACGATGTCCCGGTCAAGATAGTGGAGCGCTATAAACCCCCACCAGCCGTCTACCAGCTGCCACAGGCGACCCTGAACCGCCTGGCGCAGTACCGAGAGGACTTTTACACGGATCCCCCTGACTACCAGTACGATGGCCAGCTGGAGCGGGCAGTAGTGACTCAGGCGAACCGCTGGCGCCAGCTGCGTAGGCAGCAGCGTGAGGAGCGCTCCAGGCGCCAGGAGCGACGCAAGGAGCAAAGCCAACGGGCGCTGGAGGCCAAGCAGAAGGAGATGCTCGGAGCAGTCGATTACCCAAGTACTGACGATTTGTCATCGGACGAGGAGGAGGCAGAGCGGGTGGGAAAGACGGAGGAGGAGGTGGAGGAGCAAAAGCAACCTCCGCTAACTGAGTCACGCGACTCGCACGAACCAAAGTCAATAAGTGTGTGCAACAACTTCCACAACATCTTGCAGCCCACCATCTTAAGCACGACCCCGGTGGCCAGTCCACAGACGCTGCACAAGCGGAACAGCTCCCTCAACTATGCAGATTTCGAGTACAACATGAACTCTACGCCTTTCGACAACATCGAGCTGAAGACTATCAACGATCTGGATATACTCGCCCAGGTGCTGCACCAGACCCAGATGGAGGAGCAAAGGGAGCTGGGACAGCAACAGGCGCAGAAGGAGTCAGAGCCGCCCAAGCAGGAGATGCCAGCTCCTGTGGAACTAACGATGACGACGCTGGCGGAGACCAAAGCGACGCTCGACAGCGTCAATTTCCATGTTCACTGTGATGACGATGAGGGCAGGAGCGAGCCCAAAAACATTCCACCCACGCCGCCTCTTTATCCAACGCCCATGTACAGCGCTTCCCCGCAGCAGCAACAGCCGGAGCACTTCCAGGTGGGCCATTACTAAGGGTTGAGGGGCGTTTATCCCTAGGTCGTAAATGATTTATTATGAAACTGGCCTTGCCAGATGTTTACTTTTTATTTAAAAACAAAAAAACTGTTATTGTTTGTCTGACTTTACCAAAAACAAACGATTTCTAGCTAATATATTTCGGTATTTGTTGTGTCGCATTAATTTACGTTAATCCATTATAATAAACAAGGAAATAAAAGTGTGTGTGTGTTCAATGGCACAGAGTGGAGTTTTTATTTATTATTATTTTTTACTCTCGCCGATTGGAGTTCTAGTGTGCAAGCAGATATTTTTAATTTTTAAATGCTTAAGAGACTTTTACAAAATAAACATAAAAAAATTGTTTCTAATTACAGGCTTACCACATGCAAGGCTATAATAGTCACCCAACATTCTACTCTACGCAGCAGCCTCAATTTTACCACCAGCACCAGAACAACTACTATGTCAATGGATTTGGCACACCACCCAATCACTTGATGTCACCTCCAGCGCCTTCCTCTAGCCTGGCATTGGGTCAAGCAGAGAACGAGGTAGCCACCAAGTCGAGGAGTGTTCCGGACATACTGCGCGAGCTAAAGACAGAACTGCAGCAGGCAGAGAAGCGCCGAACCCGTCTGCATAGCCACAATGAGGAGGAGCAGCAGCAACAGCAGCACCCAAAGATAGAGATGGTATCGGCGGCGACAGCGGACAGAAACTCATTTAGGGAGCTGGCTGGACCGGCGCAAAATCTTGCTCATCGCATCAGCACCATGGGCTTTCCCCTGGAGCGGGTGGCCAAGGTTGTTGGCCTGTGTGGCATCGACGATAAGAAGGTGAGAGTGCTCATTTGTTGTGGTTTAAACAGTTTAAATTAAAGTGTTCCTGCCCACAGATCATCGAGCACCTTATACCGCTAGGAGAGCTCATGGACCTGGGCTTTGACGAATCAAAAATCTCGGCGGCGCTACTCAAGTTCGACAATAATAAGGACAAGGCGCTAGACTATTTAATTAACTAGTTCAATTCCAAGGCAACCTTTTGATATTTACCCCAAGCAGTACTCCCACGAATCCCGTTCAAGCAGCTTTCAACCACGGTGGCTCCTCTAAACGTATTTTTTAATTATAATTATAAGTTCTCGTGAGATATTCCTTGCTTATGTTGGGAGTTGAATGCTTCAGAATCCTCAAACGCAGCAGCAGCAGAATAAATATATAAGTCCGTATAATAAGCACAGTTCAGTTGGTTAGCTGTTCCCGATCCCAGTCCAGGTTCAGGACCCCTCTTCAGTTCATCCCCAGCATTAGTAGGTTGATGGCGTGCTCAACGTTCCCATCTGCCAAGGTGAGATAGTTGACGTTCTGGGTGTGATTGATGAAGCCCATGGCGGCCATCGTGCGCAGTTGTTCGGTAAAGCGATGGCGGCGATAGCAGCGTGGCAACACATCGCTGTCGTCTCCCCCATCACCATCATCATCGTCATCCACAGCGTCGGAAGGTGTTACTGCAGCGGCGGCTGCTCCTCCACCAGCCTCAACCTCCATATTTTCTACCGCTGGTTGCTGTTGCGATAGAGACTGAAACGCACGGGCCAGCTCATTGCGAAACAGCTCCGAGGTGATGGAACTAGTGCCAGTGGCTCCGCTGCTACTTCCGGCCCCGGCTCCTGGAACAGAACCGACCAGTGGCGCCGAAGAACTGGTCCTTGGTCTCTCATCGCCATGCAGGGCCTCATCAGCATTTCGTTGGGCAATATTAGACAGAGAATTAAACGAGGTCACATTAGCTAAGGCATTCGCCAGCTGTTGGCGACTAATTTGTCGGATGTTGGCCATCTCATCACGTCGGTTGGCAGCCGCAGCTGCTGCCACAGCGGTACCGCCACTGCCGCCGCTGCTACTGCTTCCGGCCCCGAGCGAGTTTTCCTCCTCCGATGAAGTTGTTGATTCTGAGGCAGCTTGTTCTTGGACTGTTAATCAAAATCAGAGATTATTATTTTAACTATTTCACCCAGGTTTACTTGCGATGGCCTTACACTGCGTGGCTGAGCTGTTCCTGGCCAATTCCTTGCGAATGGTATCTACAATATATGGGGCAGCCTCACAGATGAGCGGATAGTCGCGGACCAGATTCTGGACCACCTCTGGCTCGTGCAGCATATTAAAAAGCACCGAATCCCTGATCAAAGCTTGGGCTCCCAAATTGCGCCTGAATTCCGGATACTCCGCCAGAATCTTTTGTAGGATGTTGAAACGCGAAGTGACGCTAATCTGAAGGTGCGACGTCAGCGAGAACAGCTCCTGGATGTGCTTTGTGTTGATTTCGGAACTCACTGGTGGCACATACGGGGTATATCGCTTGGTCTTTCGAAAGCAATGAATCACAGCATTGGGCTGTAGCGAACGGCTGAGGGTGTCCGCATCCTCCAGCACCTTTCCGTGATGAATGATCTCTGCAAGTGCGCAGCAGATGACTTAGCACAATGGGAACAATGGGCGCCGTCGAAGCGGTCGCTTTTGTTGGTTCACTCACCCAATTCATTGGCGTCGAACTGCAATTGCAGCTCCTTGGTCACAAGCTCCTTCAAATACGCCACATCCCTTTCCAGATCGATGTTGTGCAGCGGATGCACATCGCTCAGCTTGTTCTTAAGCAGTGCGTACACGGTATGCATGGTACGATCAAATTGTATATTTTGTTTTGTTTTCCACAAACCCGGGCCACTCTCCAGTATCGTTTTTGTTGCTGTGTGACCAGATCTCGGCAAATTAAAAATCGTTACAAATATACGTCGCTAGGGATGGGAAAAATGTTTATAAACATTTCATGGTGAAAATTGTATTTAAATATTCAGCTTGAAAGCTTATTATTCTGAAAATGAGTCGTATTTTGAAATATTTTATTAGATAGATTTTTCAAATTTTACCGACCGAAGTTTACAGTTGGCCGCTCTACGAAAATCAAAATATTTCGAATATATAAATATAGTTTTATATATCATGTCTTCTGATCGTGCGACTCAGACACCCAAACGAACGATTACAGCATCCCCAACGTCAACATCCAGATCTCGGCCTGAAAACAAGAATATTGCGACTGAGAAATCAAATCACGATGCAACGTCAGCGTTATCCAGCAGTGAATCGGTCTTTAGCTGCCAATTTGAGGTCTTTGGGATAGTGCAAGGTAGGTGAATCCATTCCAAATGGTTTACTTCATTTTAATGGAATACCCCTTTCAGGCGTTTCTTTTCGCATGGTAAGTGATTCCTTATTATATATATGTATCTATAAACCCGATTCATATTTCCGTCTATATACAGTACACCTTGCGAAGAGCTCAGAAGCTTGGAGTTCGCGGCTGGTGCAAAAACTCAAATACGAACACGGTAAAGGGCGAAATTGAGGCACATTATAATCCCTTCGAGGAAATGTTAGTTGCTTCTATAGCTTTCTCGACAAAAATTATAATAATATTTTTATTACAGGCGACTCTGGTTAAAATACACCGGAAGTCCAACCAGCAGAATTGACAAAGTCGTCTTTAGCGATACCATAGAGCGGCCGAACTTTACTTTCCAAACCTTTTCAATTGTAACGGACTAATAGTTAAGCTTTTTATTTATAATTGTCTTTATGTTGTGATAAAATAATATGTGAAATACAGAAGTACCCTAAAGTAAATAATAAAATCTTTGGATTCAAAGGAACATCATACATCGACATATATTAATTAAATAATAATAATAATAATAACATTTTTGAATTTCTAGGTTGATTAGTTTTTCTTTTCCTTGTTTGTAGTTATTTTGTAGAATTTTAAAACTAAAAAGTAACCATATATATAATTTAATTAATATAAAAGCTAAGGGCACAGAGCTTTCGACTGAAATGAATATAATATATCGAATAATATGACCGTTTGGTTGTGTTTGAGGGGGCCGGTGAATTGGGTGGAGATTATTTTATTCACAGTCCAGTAGTAGAAGCAACAGGTTCTTTCAAAGTTTCTATATTTAATTTGTGTTTGTGTCTATTTATATAAAACAAATTGTGAGTTAAAATGGCTTGCAACAAGTTCTTAACTTTCAACAATGGCGAGAAGATGCCCGTGATTGGCATCGGCACATGGCAGGTAATTTAATACATATATTTTGTACCTTATATACATATGTATATAACTTGAAATCGTGTAAGCACGATTATTGAAATTCGAAATATAATTTGAATGGTATATCTATCATTATTGTTATAACTAATGACAGACCTCAAAACAAATCTGACACGTCATTTAAGAATCTTGGAGATTCCGTTGCAATCAACAGAATCTGGTTGTTTTTCGGACCACAGACCGGTTTTCAAAAATAAACAATGAACCTTTATTTATTCCTATGTTACATGGCTGGGTTAGTGGGTTGGACTTTCTCTGAGGAGAACATAAAAGTTGCTGGTGTTTAATCCGTTTTGTGCCTGTCTCTCCCAGCAAATACTTGACTAATCTTTAGATTATAGATAATAGAAACCACTAAAACCACATTATTTCATCACATCACTGCAGGCATCGGATGAGGAAATTGAAACCGCCATCGACGCCGCCCTGGAGGCGGGATATCGCCATATAGACACGGCTCCAGTTTACGGCAACGAGCAAGCTATCGGACGTGTCCTCAAGCGGTGGCTGGACGCCGGAAAGGTGAAGCGCGAGGAATTGTTTATTGTGACCAAGGTTCCTCCAGTTTGTAAGTAAAATAAATAAAATTTAAATTTTAAATTTTTTTAGATTTTAAATTGAGTATATTTTATTAACCTAATAGAAATTAACATGAGAAAGCTTTCCGAATTAAAACTCATTCATTTTTGGCTTAGCTATGACATTTTTAAACTTTGATTTGTTGAAAATAATTTCCATATAAAAGTATTAATAAATACCGATTCAAAAAATTCAAAAATATTTGAACATTAATGATCGATTTCATATACGCAAGGGAATAAAAACTTTGGCTTCCAGAAGATAGTTTCCCTTCTGTTCTTTATCTTTGTGTGTTTATTTGCCACAGTGCCGTTTGAAGTGTTATTGGGGGCAATAAAAGAAAATAAATCCCACATTTTATTTATGAGCTGAGTGTTATAATAAAAATCACAGCAGTAATAATACATTTCACACAAAAAATAAATTTCTTTAGGGAAAAAACACATTACCATATACATATATTAGGAAATTTGTATAACAGGACATACTGACACATATTTTCTTTATAGCCAATCGCCCTCATGAGGTGGAGCCCACCATCAGGAAGTCCCTGGCCGATCTGCAGTTGGCCTACGTGGATCTGTACTTGGTCCATACCCCATTCACCATCAACATCAATGAGGATGGAAGCTTTAAGCTGGACAAGGATGGTCTCATGGAAGTAGATGTGACCACCAATCATGCCGCCATCTGGGCAGTTATGGAATCACTGGTGGAGAAGGGTCTGACCAAGTCCATTGGTGTGTCGAACTTCAGCAAGGATCAGGTGGCCCGCCTGCTCAAGAACTGTAAGATTAGGCCAGCCAATAATCAGATCGAGCACCATGTCTACCTGCAACAGCGGGACCTGGTGGACTTTTGCAAGTCCGAGAACGTGACAGTCACAGCCTACTCTCCGCTGGGCTCCAAGGGCATTGCCAAGTTCAATGCTGGTGCCGGTATTGTCCGGGATATTCCCGACCTGATGGACATTCCGGAGGTCAAGGAAATAGCCGCCGCTCATAAGAAAACACCAGCCCAAGTGCTGCTCCGCTGGATCATAGATACCGGTGTTTCCGCTATTCCCAAAAGCACGAACCCCGCTCGTCTCAAGCAGAATCTGGATGTCTTTGATTTCGAACTGACCCCAGAGGAGGTGGCCAAGTTGTCCAGCCTGGACAAGAACATACGCGTCTGTGACTTTGCCTTCTTCCACGGGTGAGAAAAGTTTTATATATATTTCAAATTCTATATTTTAAATGGGTATTCTTTCTTGCAGCGTGGAGAGGCATCCGGAGTTCACCTTTAAGAACCAATATACTAACTAAACAGACAAAAGACATTAAAATATTTCACGAATTATACTCCCACAAAAAGAATTTGGAATAACATTTAATCGAATAATAGTATTTTATATACTTAAATTATATTATTATTTTGCACTTCAATACACATTTCTTTATACTCTTTTAACACGTTATAAAATTATAAAATTCCGATTATTTAATGATTTTCTTTGGCATTCAGCAGGTGAAAGGTTTTTGTTTTTGTCACAATTTTCAACTCAACAGGTTTTCCCCCGGTCATTGACTTTTCTTCGTTCGTTTTTACTGGTTTTTCCTTTGCATCTGTGATGTCGTTAGTTCGTGATTCGTTAACGGGGAGGCTGAAAGCAAACTCGCACATTAAAAAAAGGTTTCTAGACGGCACTATTGACAGTTAGTATTAAAATATATTTGCAACACATTTTTTGTAATCTAATCTTAAACAAATCACAAGGTTACATTAAGCAATTAGTAGCGAGCGTGAATTTCGGTACTTTACAGCTTCAAAGTGTTTTTTGCAACTACCAACAATTCGAGGTACATATTGAATATAAATATATATTAGAAGATCGATAACTGAGATATTAACGAGACGGAATCTTAAATACCTTGGTAAATTTAGTTCAAAAATAATAAAAATACGAATTAAAAGGCGGTACAAATTAGTAACTGCAAAGCGATCAACACGATAGTCAAACCATTCGCCATCCTAGAACTATAGTACAATTTTCTGGGCCAATATCAATTTGATTGTCGGGTCTTTTGGCCGCACAGCTTTTGTTAGTTTCTTCGAGTATTAAAAAGGAAATTCGTAGTTGCTGTTCCATGCGAAACTCACGTGGTTCGCGTCTCCTCGTCAGTGCTGTTCCTGAAATGCAGGTAATGACATCTTAATTAATTGGAGATGAAGAAATTTGGGGAAATCAACATAAAGGAAGCCAACGAAATCGGTTAAACACTTACTTCAATCCTCGTGCCGCAAAAGACGGATAGAATACATACTTTGCATGCAAATCAAACAAACTTTGTGGAAATAAACTTCTTAAGACTAAGAGTTACCTAGTTTCTTGATGGCTGCGCATCGCCAAAGTGGCCACCTCAAAGAGACCAATGAAAAAGCAGAGCATCAGTGGTCCGAAAATGGCTCCCTGCCATCCAATCCAGTACATGCCACCGGCGATGGCCAGACCATTCAGGTAGGGATGACCACCACTAATAAAGGTACGTAATGATTGACAATTTAAAGAAATTAGTTTTCCTCTTTTTCTACTAAACACTCACCCCTTGAGGTCTGCATATATGGCCGTCTCAAAAGATGACGGCACAAAGAATTGCAGCAGGAATAGTATCAGTCCGGCATAGAAGCGATCCTGGGCTAACCAGAGCTCCAGGAAAGCAGGAACAGCGCACCAATAGCTTCCCAGGAAAGGAGCCGCTGCCAGCATGGCAGCCACAGCGGACGGCAGGAAAACTATCCGTGCTCCAAAAACCGTATGCACCAGCCAGGTAAATAAGCCCGTAAACGTAGAACACTTAAACATTGAGACTAAGACCACCGTAATGGAGTTCTCTAGGGCATCAGCAATCTTAATGCCCGAACTGGAGTATCCCAAGTATTTGGTAATTTGCAGCGGAGCATACTTCTCCTGACTACTTGAAAGCAGATAGAAAAGGGCCGTAAAGAAGACAATCTAAGAAGAGAATAAAGATTTACTAGATTTCCTACAGATTAAATAAATTACTTACCATATCCAAGATAAACTCAATGCACGCCTGTCCGCCGGAAAGCAATAGTGACAGAATTTCGCCTGTCACGCCCATGATCATCGACAGATTGGTGCGTATAATGTGCCACAAGGATTCTGCGACCTCGAGGATAGTCTGCGTATTGCTCTGCGCCCATCCAATGATGCCCTGTTTCGCCACTAAAACTAGCTCTTTAAAATGTCCTTGGTTAAATAAACGGCCATTGGTTAGCAGATGCAACACGGAATGAGTTAGATCTTTGACGCAAACGAAGGTTACGGGATGGATGGAAGAAGCGAGCACTAACTCAAGAAAGGCCCAACACCCCTTGCAAACCCCAGAAAACACAACTCAAAATGTTAATAATAAATACGGGACAAATGAAAAAGATAAAAAGAAGACACAGATAGTGAAGGTAAAGCAACATACCTGGATTGTCGACGATCTCGCCAAAGGTGCTCTTCAGTGCGTCCGTTGGAACCCTTGGGCCATAGGAGGTATCTGCCTTGCTGAAATCGATCCAGTACTGAATAAGCCTATCCCAGACATCGAGGATCTGTTCCTTCAGCTTAGTAGCGTGCACCTTGTCCGCGTCCGCCAGCCAGTCGTCGATATATGTCTCGATCTTACGGCGCCCATAATGGTGCGCATTATCTAGCGCATCATCGATGGACGCCTGCATGTTGGCGGGCAAGATATCAATTAGCTCAGGCCGATCTGTGATCGTCTTGTTAATTAGATCCTTGCCCAAGTAGGCCACCTCGATCGTCTCCGAGTATATGTTCACGCAGAAGAACACGCTTAGAAACACTATGATGAGCAGCATGAGAATGATCATGAGAATGGAAGTGACCGACTCCACGGAAGACTTAAGTGAGTCTCGCACGATCGTATTGATCTTATAATTCAGCTCTAGGACACCAGGAAGGCATAGCGGTAAAACGGCGGAATGATGTTCGATCGCCCACGACTGCCACGAAAACAGAGAGCATGAAATACATTAAGAACTTAGACAACGACAAATACTTACCCGCAGTGCCAGGTAAACTTCGTTGATCTTGCTGCAGGCAAACTGGGTGATCCCCGTATAAACGCCTATCGTGTATATGAGGTGGAGCAAGATGGGAATGGCTGCCAGGATAAACATCCAGACGTTGCGATATAGGAATGTCCCTAGGCAGGCGTAGAACAATAGTTTAAAGAAGGTATCACTCTGGTGGCCCTCAATCTCGGCTCCGTGCTTCGCATCGAAGGTGTCCGTTGAGTCGACTGTGTCACTAAGAGAGATGTCCTCCACCTCCGACTGTGGACTGAGTGGGGGCTCGCTACCTAACCTTCCACAAATGCTAAAATTACTTAAGGAACGTTCGAAATCGTTTCTATCGAACAATTTTTGCAGGCGATCTAGGTAGGATCCAGACTCTTCCCTTGTTTGAAGATGGTATGCCGTAGATGCAGTAACATAGGCCATGACTAGGAGGAACACAGGCACCTGGAGGGCGCCCAAAAAGCTGCTTAGATATCCAGCTATGGCTATCCACATGGACTGCCCAGCGACAACAAAATGAGCACTATTCTCCGGCTTCCAGAAGAAATGGACGCACGTTAGATAGACCAGTACCAGGGCGATGAGCTATCGGATATTGAAGGTTAATATACAAGATATTCAATTATTAAGGATGCGTCAGAAATCATACCACATAGACGTTGAGGTATCCAATTATCTGGACAAACAGGCCGTGCGAAAAGGTTATCCAGTGCCACAAGGCCAGCAGGAAACCCTTTGGAGCGTATAGTACCAGCAGCTTGATGCATCCAGCCACTCCGCATCCGGCCAGAAGCAGCTGCCAGTGCTCGCAAAGCCATCCTATCAGCAGCCGGCCGCAGTGTTCCGTGGCCTCCAAAGGCGAAAGGCAAATAGAGACCAAAACGTTGCAGTCGCGCTCTTCCAGCCGCTGGAACCAGCTATTCACGCTCTCCGCCAGCCGTCGCTTAAATGGGAAGAGGACCGCGCCCATGAGGAAGGCCCAGAGAAGCGGGCGCACGAAGGGTCCCAGGATGAAGCAGACGGCTACAAACGCTCCCACGCCGGCAGCGATAAGAAAGTTGTACATGGCAGCACGGAAGCTCTCATGGTTCTGAGAACGCATACGCAGCAGCCGGTTGAGCACGCTGTCGAAGGAGCGATCTCGCCGAATGGGAATCGGTTCTGAGCGGTTCATTTTGTGGGCTCAGAAATACGAGGAACTGCCGGCGGAAGCGATAAACTGGATTAGTCCTTTTATGACAACTAGCAGAGCAGCTCCATGCCCATGTGGGGGCACGCCCATATGACGAAACTGCTCCGCTGTAGAGAACTCACTTTTGGTGATTTCGGCCGCGATTTGTGAGATCAGCAACAGATGATTCACATCGGGGCGGAAGGAGGGTATCGGGCTGGCGGCGGAGTTGTCAGTTTCCGGAGCTTGAAGTGGTCATCGGAGTCGCAGCAGTTTCCTTCAGACGAGGGGGCGAAGGGACGGGCACGGGCACACATAAACAAAATATACGTCGTTGCTCGCTAATTACGTCAGGCCAATGTGGGTATTGTGCAACACTACCAGAGAGTCGATAAACAGTATGCATTCAATAAAAGAGATAATTTGGGCGTTCCCTTGGCATTTGAATGGTGTAAACTATTGTCAATTATGACACTTTTCTTTTCTGAATGTTCGGCTCATAAAAATATTCAACTTTAAAATATTTTTTGCTCCCTTACGGCTGTCGAAGTAAACGGGCTTCCACTGTATTGTTTCAGTACACGCGTTGTTCAACACTACTTCAAAACAAAAAGCGACGCCATGGCAGGTAAGCGGCATTAATTGAAAATTTATTTTATTTACGAAATTAATCAATTAATTTTGATATAAGATTTATCGCTACAGCAAGTGCTCGAGCTGCGCGACATCCTGCAATCCTTCAACAGTCACAAAGATACCTACATGGACCTGTATCGGAAAATCGTAAAGAAACACTACACAACAGAACTAAACAACTTGGTAGGTTCATCTGACCTACGCTAACAATTAAATATTAAACCAACTTACAATTCTTTTGAAGATCCAAAGCGAATTCAACATTCTAGATGCAGAATTAAACGTTCCCAAAATACCGCCGCTCTCCGTTGACCCAGAAGATTACTCACCCATGTTTCACGTTAGTTTTGTTTATTCAGCATCAAAAACGTCTAGGATTAATTAATACTTTGATCAACAGCTCAGCAAATTGGAGGAAATCTACGAGGCCACCAAGGAAAACTTGTCTTGGTTGTAGGACTGTTCCGATCGATCCTTGGTACTATTCAGCCAGTAACTGTGTAGGACCCGATGAGTGTGCTGGAGGCACTCGAACGATGGGGATTGGCTCTGGAAGATGAAATATTTATTAGTTTAAATCAAAATATATACGAAAGGAAGGAAATTACATTGAATAATGGTATAACGGGTCGCTTCTTAAACAGACTTCCTTTCGTTCGTAAAATCAACATGTACTTCACATCCAACTGAAAAGAGATGGCACCTTTTTAAAATCCGTATTCATCAAGTTTAGATTGTCGTGACTGAACCGTCTACTCACATCTTCTATTACTTCATTCAGCACTATGTCATGGATATGTCCCCGCTGGATGCAGAGCACCGATTGTCTGCCGAATGATCGCACCGTCTCCGTCTGCAACGCCATGTCCCAGCTGTAAAATATCCGCTCGATGTGTACCAGGTTCAGTGTGGAACGGAGCATTAGAATGGCTACCAAAGCCCAGGTAACCAGGGGATAAATAATGCGGGGCTGCCAGAGCCCAATGTTCCGGCTCCAGAAACCGCAAACTCCTACAAAATAGGCGGTGGCCAGGAACACCAGGAGAAGCAACCGGCGCAACTGTCTCCGTAGTTCGGTTCTATGATGCAGGTTCACGAGTTCGATGCGAACCACGTCCCCGCCACAGTGCTTAATGCACAACTCCAAGTCCGCCTGTGCGTAGCCGGCATATTTGGCTTTCCGGCTGTAGTACCTGTGGATCGTCATCTCCTTATGGGCCATGTTATCGTAGGCTTGGTTGTCATTCAAACTACACCAAAATGGTAAAAAAATTTGGATTAATTGCTTAAAATCGCTATAATTGTCAATGAAGAAGAATCATAACAAACATATTTTAACTCCGATTTATTTAATAAAAATACCAAAGAAAATAAAAAAGGAGGCATTTAAGGGTTTCTCGAAAACGGTCACACCCAATCAATCCCTTTGACTATAGTTGCCAGACTGTGCGTAAGCCATCGATATCGATAGCCACGTATGAGAAATTTACTCGATGTATCTATAAACGTGTAAAATAGTTACCTACACGTGTAAGATGGAAAATTGTATATCAGACAAATGTTTTTAAACATCAATAGATCAAAAAATCGATGCTTTGACAACTACATTCAAACATCGGTAGTATCGATAGTGCCAGCACAAGCAAGAAATAGAGGTGCAAAATCATCGATGTATAAAGACATCGATGTTTTTCACCCAAAAACGATGCATCGATGTTTCCATCGAAGTTTTTGCATCACTAGTGGTATTATAGACAAGCGTCGTCCGCGGAAAAAGTGTAAAAATCATAATTATCCGGGAGATTTATTGTTATTAGCGCGTGTCAATAATAAATATGCGCAAGCGTAAATTATACATGAACTAAACGAATGCGAAGCGAATGCTAGCAGCAGCGCCAGAAACTAAACAAGGAATTGCAGCGTGAGTGTATAACTTTTCAGTCAGCATTGCCCCCGCGCTCCCTCTCGCACTCGCCCGCTGTCCCGCTGCTGCTACTGCCGTCCTGCTCTGGCCCTCTTGCGGCTTCTGTGTTGTCTGCGTGCGAGTGTTTGAGTGTGTGTGTGTATGGTTCGTCTCACGTACTCCGGCCTTGCGGAATTGGACTATATCCAGCTGAATTAGGTCCTCGATCCGTATCCGGATCATACCCGTATTCCGGAGGGCTCCAACTAGGTGGACACTTTGTTTTTATCGCACTTTATGCAACAACGCAAACGGTCGAAAAGTTGAGTTGAATTTCTCCGCTCTCCGCTGTGTGTAGTGTGTTGGGTTTCTCGCTGCGTGGTGAGTTTGTATTCTGTTTTCCTTTCCCTGCGTTTTGTGTGCGTTTCAATTAAATGCAAAATCGGCTGCGAATATCGAGAAAATGTGGTATACATAAACATTAGTAAGCAAACATCAAAACAAATTCGGATTACAACAACAACACTGGGCCTGTCTCGTATGCTAGTGGGAGTGAGTGTGGGGATACGACGGCATTTTTCTTTACCACACGCCTCGTTCCCGCAATACGATGCAATTTTTGCGATTCTGTTTTGTGCCTGCTATTCGCAATAATTTTATTGAATGAACCGCAAAAGAGACGGCCGAAAAAGCGATGTACTTGCTAGACTGTGAGTGTGAGTGTGTGTGACTGTGCCAGTGTGAGCGTTGTGTGTGTATCGCGTATGAAAATACATCAACTGTTGAAAATCAAACGAACAAAAAAAGGAAATTTGCTGACATTGCAATCGCTGCGGAGAGTGTTTATAATTGTGAAATTGTCGAATTGTCTCCACTCGTCCGTCACTCCCCAATGCCACCCCAAAACGGTGCATACATGCACACGCACACACGCCTGCCGACTTTTGCGCGTGTATGTGTGTCTGTGTATGCGAGCGCGCGTATTCTGCACACATTGTCATGCATGCAAAAACAAGATACGACGCGTTCGTAATCGTCAGACTCCTGCTACTCTCTTCACCCCCTCTTCTCTTCTCTGACCCTTTACTACCAATCGGGAGCGAAGAAAGAAGTCGAAAAGCACAAGAAAAACGGAACAGGAGCAGGCACAGGTCCAATTTAGACTGTTTTCACCCAACTGAGTCTTGCATCTTTTTTATTTACCCCATCTCACGCCTTTTCGGTCGCTCCTTTTTTCACGGCTTTATTGCCACTTGCAGCGTCCCTGTGGGGAAAAGTCAAGAGAGCAGGACTTCAGCACTCACAGTTGGACTCGAGAAGAAGATTAACGAGCAATATTTAGTAATTTTCAATCCAATTTAAAAGTAATATTTTTTATCGCCCTTAAATTGTTTACTTTCTTCATAAGAAAGCCTTGTTTAAATTTTTAACATTCAAAACCCTATTTTGTATAATTTTTTGAAAAAACTGATTGTAAATATTCGTTACAAAACACTCAAAACATTTCACAATTTAAGAACATACAATTCGTACGTCGAATTATAATAATTTAAAAACACTAAGCTTCGTAAAATTCACAGGTGAATAATTATTAGTTGTTGTTCTTAGCGTTTATCAATGCATCGACTCCAGGCGCATTTTGACATTTCAAAATTTGTGGTAATTTTTGGCAACCATTCTGGGCTTGCCTGCCAGCGCTGATATTATTAATAAACATTAATAATAACCAAAATCTGTAGCATTCGCGTGTTTTTCGCAGCTGATTGCGTAAACCGCTCTCGCCGTTTGTTTTGAATTGCTACTTTTGTTTTGGTATACGATTCTCGGTTCTACAGAGTGTGAAATCTGCAACTCTCTCTCTGTGCCTCTCTGGCTGTCTAGGTTCTCCAGTGGTGTTATCAGTGCGGGATTGGCCTATGGCGCCTCACTGGAACTTGTGTAGTATTTCGTTTCGATTCGTATCTGGGATCGCAATCGCTGTGCAAATAAATCCCAGCGCACACATCATTTCCACACTTGCAGCCTTGGTGGTGCGAGGAAATTGGTTGGTGGTGGGTGGTGGTGGTGCTGGCCTTTCGGGTGGCGATCTGAGGTGACGTAAATATTTGCGGTGAATACCAAACTTTGACGTTGATGTGGGCGCTCTCTTCAACGATGACGTATTTCATTCGTTTTCCTGCGTTCTGTTTACTCGCGCATTATTTTACGCTTTTCCATTGACTGTCGCCTCGCCAGAATGGATACTGTGAAGCTTTGATAAGTCGAACTCTTTAGGACTTGGTTGTGTTTAATGGACTTGGCCAGATTCAAATGAATCCTATTGGTTGTCCACCGCATGGTTGGATTTATCTTTTGTGTATTTCCAAAAAGTATAACTATCTATTGAATTTTTTGTCCAATTTACATGTGTATATCTATGAAATTTTTCTTTAGGTTTTGTTAAACAAGAATATGCAGTTCCGAGATGGTTTTTGCAATATGTGAACGTTGGTTTAGATTATGATATCCCTAAGCTAAACATTATTTAACCCATTCAAATTCCATGTGCACGCAGGGTTTCTTAAGTTTCCATAAATAACATCAGCTAGTTCGATTTATTTTGGCTTGACTATAACTTGCTGCTTCTCGCTCTCCATGCTCACTCGCAGGTCTCCCATTCTCAGGTCTTCGGCACTCTCTTACCTATTTGTTTTCTACGCGCGCGTGTTTGCACTCTTGGCTATGTAGCTGGCCGTGGGGCGAAAGCGGAGCGATAGTAGTTGCTCATGCAAGCACACACACACTCACACACAGGCAGACTGTGGCAGGCCTAGATCTAATGGAAAACGTTTAATGTTTGTAAACAGACCGGTCAAAGCTAAATATTTTTTGGCATTTCGCATCTTACTACGAATTTGTGGACTTTTCTCTCATTTTCTCTCTCTGCTTCTATACGTATACATACATATGTATGTATGTGGCTTTCACATCTTCCTTCATTAAAATAAGTCCTCAGCTGCCTATGTAGATGCAGTAAAAGATACAATATCTGTTGATATTTGTACTCTTTTAGATATTAAAGTCGAATTGAATCACAGTATGTCTTGTAATTTTACGAAATCATTAATTTAATGACATGTGCTTGTATTTGCGTAAAATAAATAGTGCTTTCTTGAAGAGAAGATTGAAAAATCGAAAAGGAACGCAAGCGTAATATCAACAAACGTATATCAATAATTTTGTTCACTTTTCAGTGCAGTCTTGTCGTGACCCTACCCGACGCTGGAGTAGCGGCCTAACATGGATGTCAAGCGAGTCAAGCATAGAGAATAGCCGAATCCTTTGAATTCTAAATTCAAGATCCTAATTTAAACTAGCAAAGTAGCATAGCCGTCTAGCTTATAGCACAAAAGCCTAAGGGACCGGTTCCAAGCCGTAAATTCCAAAACTCCAGTCCAGATTCAAACCAAATCGTATCGAAAGGACACTTGGGAGAGCATCCAGAGCGGTAACGTAAGGGCACACAATCATCATGACGACCGACACCCGGCGTCGCGTCAAGTTGTACGCGTTGAATGCGGAGCGTCAATGGGATGATCGTGGCACCGGCCACGTCTCCTCCACCTATGTGGATAGGTTAAAAGGTGAGTTCAAAACTTAGTAAACAAATATAGTAGAGCCTAAAGTCTAAAGTCTGTTCCCCCTCAACTTTGAAGGCATCTCTCTTCTGGTTCGCGCCGAATCTGATGGATCTCTGCTTTTGGAGAGCAAGATTCAACCGGACACTGCCTACCAGAAGCAACAGGATACATTAATCGTATGGTCCGAGGGCGACAACTTCGATCTGGCCTTGAGTTTTCAGGAGAAGGCTGGTTGTGACGAAATATGGGAAAAGATATGCCAGGTAAGTCTTGTTTTCGTGATTGTATGTATTGTATGTATTGGGAGATATATTGAGTTTTGTTACTGTCAATCGTCAAATAATGACCATAAACAGGTTCAAGGCAAGGATCCTTCGGTTGAGATCACACAGGACATTGTGGAGGAGTCGGAGGATGAGCGATTCGAGGACATGTCGGATACGGCGCCACCCATAGAGCTGCCTCCTTGTGAACTCTCCCGGCTGGAGGATATATCCGAGACGATACAGAGTTGTCTCTCTACGCCGCTGCGCAAGGAGAAGCTATCGATGGCCCTAGAATCGGAGAGCTACATCAAGAAGCTGCTGAATCTGTTCCACGTCTGCGAGGATCTGGACAGCACCGAAGGTTTGCATCACCTGTTCGAGATCTTCAAGAACATCTTCTTGCTGAACAAGAATGCTCTGTTCGAGATTATGTTCGCGGATGACACCATCTTCGATGTGGTTGGATGTTTGGAGTACGATCCCAGTGTGGCTCAGCCGAAAAAGCATCGGCAGTATCTGAAGCAGTTGGCCAAGTTCCGGGAGGCGGTACCGATCAAGAACCAGGACCTGCTGGCCAAGATCCACCAGACGTTCCGGGTGCAGTACATCCAGGACATTATCCTGCCCACGCCATCGGTTTTTGTCGAGGACAACATGCTAAACACTTTGTCCAGCTTCATATTCTTCAATAAGGTCGAGATCGTTACAATGATTCAGGACGACGAGCGCTTTTTGGTCGATGTGTTTGCTGTGCTCACGGATCAGGCAACTGGAGATACGAAGCGTCGTGACACAGTTCTCTTCCTTAAGGAGTTCTGTAACTTTGCCCAGAATCTGCAACCCCAAGGCAAGGACTCGTTCTACAAGACGCTCACCTGCCTAGGCATCCTGCAAGCACTTGAACTCACGCTCGTAATGAATGATAAGAAGACTAAGTCCGCCTCCATTGACATTCTCACGGCTATAGTGGAATTCTCGCCGTTGGTGGTGCGCAACTATACGTTGAACCAGGCCAACAGGCCAGAGGGGGTAAGTTTAGTATCCAAATTTAAGAGTTTATAAATTATTGTTCTTATTAATGATGATCCAGGAGGGTATGTTGCTAAACATTGCCATCGAACAAATGCTAAATGACTCGGAACCGGAGCTGGGCATTGCGGTGCAGCTAATGGGCATTGTTAAGATTTTACTGGAGCCGGAAAACATGCTAACCGAGAAGGGCGACTTTCTTAATTTCTTCTATAAATACAGTGTTCAGACGTTAGTGGGTAAGTGTCCTGGCATTTGGGATTTAGAATTTCTCACTGATTATAACTGATGGCCATTTGCAGCTCCATTGATGCTTAATACAATGGGTGACCGTCCGCAGAATGAGGACTATCAGACGGCCCAGTTACTGGGTATCGTTCTGGATATTTTGTCGTTTTGCGTTGAGCATCATAGTTACCACATCAAGAACTTTTTGCTGCAAAAGGATCTCCTCAAGCGAATTCTGGTGCTTATGAAGAGCACACATACGTTCCTTGTACTCGGCGCTCTGCGACTGTTGCGCAAGATAATTGCACTGAAGGATGAGTTCTACAATAGGTGAGCACGAGGATCCATAGTAGTAAATCTCGTGACTCTTGCTAACTGGTATTTTTTTTTACTCCCCAGACACATTGTTAAGTGCAATCTGTTTGCGCCAGTGGTAGATGCTTTTATTCGCAACAACGGTCGGTATAATTTGCTAGAGTCGGCCATTTTGGAGCTGTTTGAGTTTATAAAACTCGAGGATATTCGCACACTGTGTGTCTACTTTGTGGAAAACTTCAGCAAGATATTTGATGAAATCGAATATGTGCAGACCTTTAAGTACTTGAAGAACCGTTACGATCAGTATCAGGATCGGCTTAAGGACCGCGACAAGATGGAGAACCGAACGGATGGGTAAGTGAGAGTTTATTTTCCGCCTTGTGCTACTCCAAACACAATGTGAAAATGCCTTGGGTATGTGTTATTATTATTAAAGTGGGCTGCCCATCATCCGTAGCGGTGGCCGGTTTCGTCGGGACCAGCGACAAATGGAGGAAGAGGAGGAGATGTGGTTCAACGAAGAGGACGATTTCACTGAGGAAATCGATACGTACAGCAATGTTATCAAATGTGAGTACATTCAGCTCTCCGCCTCTTGTGAGAATTGGATTCTAGTATTGTTATCTTACAGCCGTCAGCGAAAAGAATGGCCCGCAATCGCAAAATCAGCAGAAATCGTCTCCGCCGCACAGTACGTCACCGCACAGCGGCGGACTGCTGGGCAACCTGAACACCACCGCGACATCGACTGCCACATCCTCCGCATCGTCGGGCGCCCCGGTGGCCAGCGGCAGCAGTAGCCCCGAGGCGGCCAGCATGGTCGATGAGCAGACCCAGGCTGCGGTTCATTTGGCCGCCGCTGCCAACATCGCACTGCAACACCACCAGCAACAGCAACAACAGCAACAGCACCCATTCCAGCAGCAGACACAGCCCGAAATTGCAGAGCTGCAACAGCAACTAAGTAGCAGCGTGGAGGCGCCGGAGAATCAGGAGTTGGAACTAACGCAGTCAGTTGCCGGCGCCAACAATACTTCACTCTCTTCGGCATCCTCCCCGTTAGAGGCATCCACGTCCTCATCGTCATCGTCATCGGCTTCATCATCGTCCTCGTCATCGTCCTCGCCACCAGGCAGCTCATCGGCTGGCGCATCTCTGTGTGATTCGGCGACAGTGGCCGCCGTGGCAGCCTCACAGTTTCTCACCACAATTGCCACTGCGATGGCGGCATCTGTGACGGCGGCGACATCGGGCACGACCGGCAGCAGTTCACCCAACCTATCGCCAGCTCCGGCTGTTGCCAGTCCGGATATTGAGAGTGGAGATGCCCAGTTGCCTCCCAGCGATGACCTCATTAGTTGCCCGGCCACTGGGGGCGAACAGGAGCAGGATGCGAGCAGCAGCTCAGAAAGCGCCAGTAGTGAAGCTGACAAGGCGACGGCTAAAAAGGTGTGTGAAAGCTTTAAGAAGATTTTGAACTGACAATATTTTATTGATTATTATTTACTATTAACTTCGTTTCAAAACAGGGCCTGGTGGATTACGAAAGCGATTCGGGCGAGGATGACTACGAAGAGGACGAGGACTCTGAGGGGCCACAAGCACAAAAGCGCGCGCGTCTGGCATAGTTGACAGATGTTGTTGAGCATAGCAGCAGCAGCAGCAGCAGCAGCGACGGCATCAATTATAAATTAGTACACACAACATACAAGAACACAACAACCACACACCTATACACATACGGCAAACACAAGACGGACATCAAGAGATCCACACACCAACAAACGTTAGGATTGCATCAGCAACAACATAGACATCGGCAAGAGGCAGGAGATGATAGCACAGCAGTCACAGCGGTACGATGTAAGATCGAACAAGAAAAACAAAAACATACAATTAAATTTTAGCATAAAAATTTATTTAAAAGAGGAGGCAAAAGCAAAAACCTAAAGTAAACAAGAAATTATAAATCTTACTTTACTAAATTAAACAACTACAACATATAAATATATATATACATATATATATATTCGAAAATATATATGCATATGAAAGAAACACAGAGAAAACTATAACCCTGATCGGCAGCATCCACGGCAGAGATGCTGCTTGAGAGAGTTGACAAAAACAAACATTAACGAATCGAAACCAAAACAAAATGTATTTAGTAGTTAAGCCGAAAAACACGTAGACCGCGGAGGAAGATTGGCTTGAGGAGGCCGTGGAGAACCCGTCAGGTGGTGTGTAGGACATTTGTATACAGTCAGAAGCATCATTCAGTTAACAGGTCCTGTCAAGTCGGCTGCTGTGCTGGCCAAGCAAATGTTGCGTGGAAGGGAAGTTAAGAAGAAAACCACATTAGTTGTGCAATATTTCGTTGTAGGTATTTTGAAGACAATTGCAATATTTACCTTATATTAGTTGTAATATCTAGACTTAAATCCTTTATTACTTAATCTCTAAACCATTGAAAACGATTCCCTGCCAAAATCGCACTATCACACACATTTACAGCGTTGTCCTCAAGCACCACGAGGAGTGTGCTGCTTGTAAACAGCGCTGAAATATTTCGCAAACAACGTAAATAATTGTAATTAATATATATAATTTTGAAAATGGCAAACTATTTACACTATTCCCTTTAAGGTTCTATGTACACAATCCTGTTGCAATTGTTTTTTAAATACCAAATAGAGCCACAGGGTGCCGACTTGACAAATTTTGTTAATTCTTTTGATTTAGTGGTGGAAATAATTGTATATAATTTAGTCGAGTCTTTATTCTCCCAATAAGTAACTGCCCTAGCACACCCCCCTGGCGATTTTACATTAAGAACATACAATTTGGACAGCCAACAAAGTTAATTTAATGTCAAGGATGTATTGGATTAACTAACTGCGAGTTCCTTAGGGGGAATCTTTTAGGACAGAGCAACGCGTTGTCAGACTGTGTTTTTACAATTATAAACAATTGTTGGCGTTACCTTTGCATTATAAAACACACGCCACATGCCACACAAACATCAATAAATAACTAAATATAATGATAACAAATAGAGTATAATGTTAAACTAAAACAGCGGGGCAAACGAACATAAGCAGAAGCAAATAACAAACAATAGAGTAAAGTAATTTAATAGTCTTCATACGGTTTTCCATTGTAAGTTCTTTTTCACACACACACACACACACACATAACTAAATATAATGTATAATTTGAATTTAATGAACGAATGTAGTAGGGCTCACTAAGAACCACACACGCACATACACCCACATAAGCTCGCTCAGCCACACACACATACACAACGAGGAGACATCTGCAACAACCACCACAAGTGACGGAGAGTAATAAAGTTATTTGTTAATAATCGTATTTTGCCATGTGCGTATGCGTATCGCTGTACTACATTTATTTATTTTAGTGTTTAAAAGAAATGTGCGAATTAAGCAAGAGCCTGCCTCCTCTCACTGCTAACGGTTTCCCCTTGATCCAATCCTTACTCCCGGCCTCCTACCTTGTCAAGACCACGCCACTTACAATTTAGATGGGGAAAACATACGATATCCTTCCAAGTTGTTGTTTTTGTTTGTTTGATTGAACAACAATAACGCAGAGTGCATAATAAAAGAGACATAACAAACATGAACGAAAATAAGATGAAAACACAAAAGAAAATGGTAACTAAAGTAAAAGTAAAGGCGACAACACAACACTATATAGTTTATACATAGTATTTATATGAATCGTGTATTGTATATGATAGTATGCTGTCTAATCCCCTAATCCTAACACACAAAAACACACAACATACCCATTACATCTATAATTTGAATATTTTATTTAGTTGTTTAAACATCCGTGCGTAAAATGCGATCTATATATATATAACTCTATATATTATGATTATGAGTAAATTAAATAATAGTTTTTAATAGTTTTTAAACAGAAACAGAATGGCTAAGCTCTCCAAAGTGTTCTTTTATTCCGTATACGTTGTGTCGCGGGTGGTTTTTCAGTGTCATGGCAACCGGCGATTCAAGGACCAAACAAATGATTCCAGCTAAAAGGTTGGACAGAGTTCCTAGTTAGTTAGTCACTCACTTGACCATCAACTGGACGAGAAAATGTCTGTGGAAGACTCTTGGGTGTTTGATTCCTTGGTGTGCTTCCTGCACGGACCCATTTGGAATGCTCCACTTCAGACATTCATCGAGCAGAAATCCCTAGGTGAGCATGGCCACGTCATCCATCTATCCATCCATGCACCATTTGCAGTGTCTGACCTTTGGTGCTTCTTTAGTCTTCGATCCCAACCAGCAGCTGGATGAGAACAATCCTGATATACTCCAGATCCATGAGGAGTACAAGAATCTAGTTGATTATATGCTGGGCAGCTTCATGGAGGAAATGCATATATCGCCGGAGCAATTCGAAATGGCCTGTCTCGAGGGACGTCAGCAGGGGGTTCAGGGTCAGGGCGAGAATCCCTTTCAGTTCCACCAGGTGCTGTTCCAGCAGGTAAGTGGGGGAGAAAAACCTTCATATGCACCAGAGTTTCAGAGATTCATGGGGTTTTTTTTTGTAGATATGGGCTGCCAACGATTTAAAGATATTTATTCGCATGATGACGCAACGCAATGTGGAGCTTCAGCTGCAGGCTCTTGATCTAATCGAGAAAAATCAATTGGCCCAAAGTGCCAGCGCCGGAGAAGGTGGAGATGATGACCATAGCGCGGAGGTGGGCTCAGATCAGGGGTGGGTTTCCTTGAGTTACATAAAGTTCGGCTTACGCAAGTTTAGTTTGATATTTTTTGAAACATTTAATATTGTTACATAACATCCTTTTAAACCACTTTTAAATCTAATAGGGATACCGCCTCGGAGGTGGAGCAATTAATAGCCAAGACCGTCGCCGGTGAACTCGAGAGTCCAGAAGCTGCCCTCACTCCCGAACATGATCCCAGCCTGGATTCGGTCAATGATAAGTTCCAGCGCCTGAACTTGTTCTTCGAGCAGGAGGATCAAGTGGATCCCAACGACATGGTGTCGCGGCAGGAGTACCTGCGCCGACAGCGCGACAAGATTGTGGAGATCAAGAAGCAAACTCGTGCTAAACAGTTGCAGGAGACAATGGCCCGGGGTACGCCGCATGCCCCTGAGGGAGCACGTCCCAGCTCCGCGTTGGTGGCCCAGCAGCTTTTGGAGAACGGAGGACGAACCACGGAACTCTCGATGCCGGCTCCCCTGGAAAGCGAAGAGAACGCTGCCCTCCAATTGAGACGGAATCTGGCCAAGCGCCTGCGCAGCGAAGTTGTGGAGCAGAAGTGAGCTGTTGTCTTAGTACGGTTTATTACAGATTCTCAGCCAGATATATAAAGGGTGTGTCGCTGACTAGTTCAGTTGCTGGATAAGGTACAGGGTGTGTCTTACGTTCAAAGATAACATGCTCGTCGTTCACACTCGTCCATGTCCAAACCTAGCCGATCCCGTATTCAGGGGTGGGCCAAGTGTGGGCGTGGTCGAGCAAAACTACAACAGATTTCGGCAAGGCTTTCCGACAAAATAAACAAATATTGCTGCTAGTGAAAAGTGTTGCTTAAAAAAAGGTGTAAAATTTAATTTGCTTTGGCTGCTGGTCTTCTACGTGGGTATGCGATCTCGCAGATATGACATGATGGCGTCGGTGCCCTTCATTAGTATTTGATGGCGGGGCTGTCGGAACGGATTTCCCACCAGTTCCAAATGACTGAAAGAAGCAAATTGAAGGAAGATATAAACATTTTAGACCTCTGATTTACATAAGTAAATACTAAAGAGCTTACGTTATGTTGGTCAGATTCCCCAGTGTGGGCGGTATTGAATCGATGTCGTTATTGCGTAAATCCAGAGTGCTCAAGCGCGGCATGCTCTTCAATCCGGACACATTCAACGTCTTGATGTGATTTTCACTCGCAATAAAAATCTCCAGACCTTGCAGCTCAAACACACTATTGGGAATGAACTGAAAACTGATCCAGAAATTAATTTCGATTTCGTATCATAACCAGTGATCAATACTTACCGATTATTGGCAATGTTTAGTTCACGTAGAGTGTTTAGGACACCGAATTCCATGGGCAGATCACTCAACAGATTATTGGACAGATTCAGGAACGTAATGCGTGTGAACTGCGATATAAACTTTGGCACATAACCGATGAGATTGTGGGATAACACCAGTTCTGTAACCAAATCATGCATATGCTGCAACCTAGAATGAATATATTTACAGATCAATGTACTCCTGAATATCCTGTCCAAAGGAACTTACCCATTGGGCAAAGTGCTCAGCTGATTGCGCGCAAAGTCAACAACATGCACACCTTCATTCCTGGCAATTTGAAAAACCTGTTCGGGAACTTCAGTTAGTTCCTCCAAGTTGACAGCTAACGTACGTGTATGACGTAATTTGTACCTGGAGAAAGAAAGATATTAGGGTATTGAGTAATGAGGCAGGGAGTAAGAAAATAAAAGCAAGAATATGACTATAGATCATGGAACTTGGTGATACACTACACCCAACGTGGATGCACAGCCTGTTCGTAAGTGAACTGCTGCTGGTACTGCTGTTGCTGGTACATAACACCATTTGGATAGCGACACTCTTGACTTTGCTGTTGTTGTAGGTAGGGACCCCTGGCCATGTTAGTGTGATAGCTCTCGGACTTGTACATGTTTCCCTGAGTTTGGCGATTATACTCCTGGCAATGTGTTTGCGGCCCATATAGACAACTGTGAGGCGCTACACGTCCTTGACGTTGCTGGTGGTATATACATGGACATTGATGCTGGTATTGGAACTGCTGTGCCAGCTGCTGATAGCTGCGGCTGCGGCGTTAGGTCTGAAATAGAAGTATGCTCAAGAAAGCTATATAAATACCTATCGGGATAGTTGCTGGGTAGTTCACAATCCTCGGCTTGTCCGCCACTCAGACGAGTTACACTGATTCCTGCTCCTGAATTGGAGACTGCATTATCGGAACCATCTTCCTTTGCCTTGGCCAGGGCTCGCTCGTGGAGCGTCTTTAAAATCCGTGTGGTTCCACACTGTATGATGTCGCGTCGGATCGTCTTTATGGGATTGCCGTCCACCTGAAGACTGATAAGGTGAGCCAGCGAGGACAAGGTGACGGGCAGCATGCTGATCGTATTGTTAGATACATCCAATCGATTCAGGTTGCGCAGCAAGCAAAGCTCATCGGGCAGCTCGGTGATCTTGTTGTCCCGCAGATCGAGGATCTTCAAATGTGGCAAGTTGCTGCACATAGCCTTTGGTACTGTCTGAAAGGGAATTATCTTTAGAAACAGCACAAGTACTAATTATTTTAGTTTTAATCACCATTATAAAATTATTGCTGGCATGCAGCTCGCTCAAGGCCTCATTGCCCTCGAAATTCGGCAGCTCCAATATGTCGTTGTGCTGCAGATAAAGGCACTCCAGCTTTCTCAACAATCCCATATCCTCTGGTAAGCAGGTCAGATCGTTTTGCATTAAATCCAGCTTTTGTAATGCTAGGGAAATAATAGGTTGAATTGGGATTAGATAGGTTTTATATTGAGGCTTAGCTAACACTTACATCGCATATTAACAAGATCGGGCGGCAGCTCCTTGATGTGGTTATGGGGCAACAGGAGTGCTGTTAGACGTACCAGAAACCCAATGCCACCGGGCAGAGATTGGATATTATTATGACCGGCATCCTTTTATTGTTAAATTTCGGTTAGCAAGCAGTTTGGTTAAGGGGAATTAATAAATTTAAGGACCACATCCAATTATAAATAGGTGACATTGATAAGGTCTGTATACCCCTGCAGTTTGATCCTGATCCAATCGTCATAAATAAGCCATTTTTAAAAGTAATCAGTGTTTTTCAAATATCTTAGTTAAATGAGTTAAATTCAAATCGGAAAGCTGTTCTGTGTTAGTTCTAATGGCGCTAACAAATCAGCATACTGCGTTTGTTGATGCTGGTAAAAGATTCTTACTAAAATTATAATAACCTGCAAAAAGGTATAAAAACAGGCCATTTTTTTAACTAATCAGTGTTTTTCAAACATCATAGTTAAGCCAAAAATGGGTTAATTTCAAATCGGAAAGCTTATCTGTGCTCATTTTTATAGCGCTAACAAATCTGCATACTGCGTTTTAATATTTAAAACATACAATTTTTTGTCGAATTTTGACAATTTTAATGATGTAACCCCTTATCTTTTTTTCAAATTTTGACAAAAAATGGTCAACTGTATTTTTCCACTTGACATGGCTAGATCGATTAAACCGTTCATTCTGATCTAGAATATATATGATTTATAGGGTCGGAAATGATTCCTTCATTGTGTTATACGCTTCTGATTAATACTAACACCCCGCAAAAAGGTATAAAAACAGGCAATTTTCTCGAATAATCAAAGTTTTCCAAATCTCATAATTAAGCCAGAAATGCGTTAATTTCAAATCGGAAAGCTGTTCTGTGTTAGTTCTAATGGCGCTAACAAATCAGCATACTGCGTTTGTTGATGCTGGTAAAGATTCTTACTAAAATTATAATAACCTGCAAAAAGGTATAAAAACAGGCCATTTTTTTAACTAATCAGTGTTTTTCAAACATCATAGTTAAGCCAAAAATGGGTTAATTTCAAATCGGAAAGCTTATCTGTGCTCATTTTTATAGCGCTAACAAATCTGCATACTGCGTTTTAATATTTAAAACATACAATTTTTTGTCGAATTTTGACAATTTTAATGATGTAACCCCTTATCTTTTTTCAAATTTTGACAAAAAATGGTCAACTGTATTTTTCCACTTGACATGGCTAGATCGATTAAACCGTTCATTCTGATCTAGAATATATATGATTTATAGGGTCGGAAATGATTCCTTCATTGTGTTATACGCTTCTGATTAATACTAACACCCCGCAAAAAGGTATAAAAACAGGCAATTTTCTCGAATAATAAAAGTTTTCCAAACCTCATAATTAAGCCAGAAATGCGTTAATTTCAAATCGGAAAGCTGTTCTGTGTTAGTTCTAATGGCGCTAACAAATCAGCATACTGCGTTTGTTGATGCTGGTAAAAGATTCTTACTAAAATTATAATAACCTGCAAAAAGGTATAAAAACAGGCCATTTTTTTAACTAATCAGTGTTTTTCAAACATCATAGTTAAGCCAAAAATGGGTTAATTTCAAATCGGAAAGCTTTTCTGTGCTTATTTTTATAGTGCTAACAAATCTGCATACTGCGTTTTAATATTTAAAACATCCAATTTTTTGTCGAATTTTGACAATTTTAATGATGTAACCCCTTATCTTTTTTTCAAATTTTGACACAAAATGGTCAACTGTATTTTTCCACTTGACATGGCTAGATCGATTAAGCCGTTCATTCTGATCTAGAATTTATATGATTTATAGGGTCGGAAATGAATTCTTCATTGTGTTATATGCTTCTGATTAATACTAACACCCCGCAAAAAGGTATAAAAACAGGCAATTTTCTCGAATAATCAAAGTTTTCCAAACCTCATAATTAAGCCAGAAATGCGTTAATTTCAAATCGGAAAGCTGTTCTGTGTTAGTTCTAATGGCGCTAACAAATCAGCATACTGCGTTTGTTGATGCTGGTAAAAGATTCGTACTAAAATTATAATAACCTCCAAAAAGGTATAAAAACAGGCAATTTTTTAACTAATCAGTGTTTTTCAAACATCATAGTTAAGCCAAAAATGGGTTCATTTCAAATCGCAAAGCTTTTCTGTGCTCATTTTTATAGCGCTTACAAATCTGCATACTGCGTTTTAATATTTAAAACATCCAATTTTTTGTCGAATTTTGACAATTTTAATGATGTAACCCCTTATCTTTTTTTCAAATTTTGACAAAAAATGGTCAACTGTATTTTTCCACTTGACATGGCTAGATCGATTAAGCCGTTCATTCTGATCTAGAATATATATGATTTATAGGGTCGGAAATGATTCCTTCATTGTGTTATACGCTTCTGATTAATACTAACACCCCGCAAAAAGGTATAAAAACAGGCAATTTTCTCGAATAATCAAAGTTTTCCAAACCTCATAATTAAGCCAGAAATGCGTTAATTTCAAATCGGAAAGCTGTTCTGTGTTAGTTTTAATAGCGCTAACAAATCAGCATACTGCGTTTATTGATGCTGGTAAAAGATTCTTACTAAAATTATAATAACCTGCAAAAAGGTATAAAAACAGGCCATTTTTTTAACTAATCAGTGTTTTTCAAACATCATAGTTAAGCCAAAAATGGGTTAATTTCAAATCGGAAAGCTTTTCTGTGCTCAATTTTATAGCGCTAACAAATCTGCATACTGCGTTTTAATATTTAAAACATACAATTTTTTGTCGAATTTTGACAATTTTAATGATGTAACCCCTTATCTTTTTTTCAAATTTTGACAAAAAATGGTCAACTGTATTTTTCCACTTGACATGGCTAGATCGATTAAGCCGTTCATTCTGATCTAGAATATATATGATTTATAGGGTCGGAAATGATTCCTTCATTGTGTTATACGCTTCTGATTAATACTAACACCCCGCAAAAAGGTATAAAAACAGGCAATTTTCTCGAATAATCAAAGTTTTCCAAACCTCATAATTAAGCCAGAAATGCGTTAATTTCAAATCGGAAAGCTGTTCTGTGTTAGTTCTAATGGCGCTAACAAATCAGCATACTGCGTTTGTTGATGCTGGTAAAAGATTCGTACTAAAATTATAATAACCTCCAAAAAGGTATAAAAACAGGCAATTTTTTTAACTAATCAGTGTTTTTCAAACATCATAGTTAAGCCAAAAATGGGTTCATTTCAAATCGCAAAGCGTTTCTGTGCTCATTTTTATAGCGCTTACAAATCTGCATACTGCGTTTTAATATTTAAAACATCCAATTTTTTGTCGAATTTTGACAATTTTAATGATGTAACCCCTTATCTTTTTTTCAAATTTTGACAAAAAATGGTCAACTGTATTTTTCCACTTGACATGGCTAGATCGATTAAGCCGTTCATTCTGATCTAGAATATATATGATTTATAGGGTCGGAAATGATTCCTTCATTGTGTTATACGCTTCTGATTAATACTAACACCCCGCAAAAAGGTATAAAAACAGGCAATTTTCTCGAATAATCAAAGTTTTCCAAACCTCATAATTAAGCCAGAAATGTGTTAATTTCAAATCGGAAAGCTGTTCTGTGTTAGTTCTAATGGCGCTAACAAATCAGCATACTGCGTTTGTTGATGCTGGTAAAAGATTCGTACTAAAATTATAATAACCTCCAAAAAGGTATAAAAACAGGCAATTTTTTTAACTAATCAGTGTTTTTCAAACATCATAGTTAAGCCAAAAATGGGTTAATTTCAAATCGGAAAGCTTTTCTGTGCTTATTTTTATAGTGCTAACAAATCTGCATACTGCGTTTTAATATTTAAAACATCCAATTTTTTGTCGAATTTTGACAATTTTAATGATGTAACCCCTTATCTTTTTTTCAAATTTTGACACAAAATGGTCAACTGTATTTTTCCACTTGACATGGCTAGATCGATTAAGCCGTTCATTCTGATCTAGAATATATATGATTTATAGGGTCGGAAATGATTCCTTCATTGTGTTATACGCTTCTGATTAATACTAACACCCCGCAAAAAGGTATAAAAACAGGCAATTTTCTCGAATAATCAAAGTTTTCCAAACCTCATAATTAAGCCAGAAATGCGTTAATTTCAAATCGGAAAGCTGTTCTGTGTTAGTTTTAATAGCGCTAACAAATCAGCATACTGCGTTTGTTGATGCTGGTAAAAGATTCTTACTAAAATTATAATAACCTGCAAAAAGGTATAAAAACAGGCCATTTTTTTAACTAATCAGTGTTTTTCAAACATCATAGTTAAGCCAAAAATGGGTTAATTTCAAATCGGAAAGCTTTTCTGTGCTCATTTTATAGCGCTAACAAATCTGCATACTGCGTTTTAATATTTAAAACATACAATTTTTTGTCGAATTTTGACAATTTTAATGATGTAACCCCTTATCTTTTTTTCAAATTTTGACAAAAAATGGTCAACTGTATTTTTCCACTTGACATGGCTAGATCGATTAAGCCGTTCATTCTGATCTAGAATATATATGATTTATAGGGTCGGAAATGATTCCTTCATTGTGTTATACGCTTCTGATTAATACTAACACCCCGCAAAAAGGTATAAAAACAGGCAATTTTCTCGAATAATCAAAGTTTTCCAAACCTCATAATTAAGCCAGAAATGCGTTAATTTCAAATCGGAAAGCTGTTCTGTGTTAGTTCTAATGGCGCTAACAAATCAGCATACTGCGTTTGTTGATGCTGGTAAAAGATTCGTACTAAAATTATAATAACCTCCAAAAAGGTATAAAAACAGGCAATTTTTTTAACTAATCAGTGTTTTTCAAACATCATAGTTAAGCCAAAAATGGGTTATTTCAAATCGGAAAGCTTTTCTGTGCTTATTTTTATAGTGCTAACAAATCTGCATACTGCGTTTTAATATTTAAAACATCAATTTTTTGTCGAATTTTGACAATTTTAATGATGTAACCCTTATCTTTTTTTCAAATTTTGACAAAAATGGTCAACTGTATTTTTCCACTTGACATGGCTAGATCGATTAAGCCGTTCATTCTGATC